TACTTTGGGCATATTGTCAGGAGGGACCAGTCACTGGAGAAGGATATCATGTTTGGTAAGGTGGAAGGTCAGAGAAAAAGAGGAAGACCCCACCGAGATGGATTGGCCATGTGGCAGCATCAGTGGACTCAACTGTGGTGGCAACTGTAGTGAGTTTGGCCCAGGATCGGGCAGTGTTTCGTTCTGCTGTGCATCAGGTTACTATGAGTTGGTAGTGACTAGATGGCACCTAACAGCAACAACAACAACAAGTGAGGGGTGTGAATGACACAGCCACTTTGGAAAGTTTGTTGTTATATAGAGAGGTCAAAAATTTAAATATTTAATTAACCAGCAATTCTAGTCACGTGAGTGTATGTGGGGGGGCTGTAGGATCAGCACTGGACTGCTAACCACAGGTTGGCAGTTCAAACCCTCTAGCCGCTCCTTGGAAACCTTATACAGGGTCATTGTGAGTCAGAACCAACTCAGGGCACTTAACAACAAGTGTGCAAGGAAGGAACCCAGGGGTGCTTTAGGATAAGTATTGAACTGCTAACAATGAGGTCAGCAATTCAAATCCAGCTAGCTAGCTGCTCTGCAGGAGAAAAGAAGAGGCTTTCTGCTCCCATAAAGAATTATAGCCTCGGAAACCCTCTACAGGGTCACTATGAGTTGGAACCAACTCCACGCAGTGAGAAGTGTGGGAGAGAAACTCTTGCTGTGTGTGCTGAGCTGTCATGCAAAAAGTCACAGCAGAACCATTCAATTCAAAACCACATGAAACTAAACAACTTATTATTTAGCATACATATTTTACATATGTAAGCATATGTAGTAAGCAAAATTCAGAATAGTGGGAATAGGATGTAGTAGGGTTTCATAAAGGAATCAAGCTTAATGACGTTCACTTTAAAAAAAAACACAAAAAACTGGTGGGCATGTAGGTATATATTTGGGGGGCAGGAGGCAGAAGGCAAAGTGTTATCTGAGAATCTGACATTGAGGGAAAGTTTAGAAAAAAAACATGCTTGCTGTGTGGGATCGTTTTTCCATGAAGTTATATAATGAGCTTCAATTTTGCGGACCCTGAGTTTCTAACAAAGATGAACACATGTAGCATCTTGGAGAATCAAGAGGCATAAATTGTTATCCAGAGAAAAAGAAACTAACATAAGTGGAAAAAATAAAATAAGAAACATCAGCAGGGGAGGTGGTTCATTACACAATAGTTTATAACATAAGTGTTTAAACTACTTTGAGATTGAACTTCTCTGGGCCACAACATCTTCATTTTTCAGTGACGCTAAGTAAACCGGACATTTCTGTACAGAGTCACTTAGTGGTTGACTTTGTCTTTTCAGATCCTGCTCACACTAAAAGATGAACCACACACACGGGGGAAGGACTGCATTGACTGTTTCTGGGCACGTGACAGGGCGAAGCTTCCACCAGCGCAGCGAGGGCGCCATAATCATTTTTGCTGCCTCAGAGTCCCCGAAGCCTTCAAGCAAATGTGGAAGTAGATTGCTGCCAGTCAGCCAATCCAGATTTTTATTGGGAAAACAGATCAGCTGGGTGTTGATTGATGGAACTTGGCAGTGGGGACACTCAGTTGATTGTACTGCCCTGCCAGAGCACATGTGCATCTTTAACCTTCCCTCCTATTCCTCCTCCCTCCATCCCAGTCCTGCTACCAAACAGAGATGATATAAAAGAGGCTCTTTGGCTATTTGTATTTGGCTTCCTCGTCTTTTCCAGACTGCAGTATTAAGCTCTATTTTCTACCCCAACATCATAACCTACCAAAGTTCTTCATCCCTTTACAAAGGGTCTGGGGAGAGGGGGCCTCCGTCACAGGGGTCAGACTCACTGGGAGGAGCAAAGTCACTGTGCTGCTGATCACGTGAGCCAGGGCAAAGGCATCTTCTGGAATTACTGATTTCTGAGATTAATAAAGTAATACTATTTTTATTTTCTTTTTTTTCCATTTACTAATTTTCCAACTATCAGTGTTCACAAGAAAGATGGAAACGGGATCAACTTTTCATTTTATTTCAACGTTGGACATTTTTTTAAACTTCGTTTTAAAAGTGAACGATAAAGAGAGGTTTATGTTTACATTTTGTTTCCGCAGATGGTGGGTCTGGGTTGTTCCCCAAGGGCAACTCCCACACCTGGGAAGCTGGTACGTTCAGATGTCTCCTTTATCAGGCCTCGGCAGGCACAAGGGTACTCCTCCAGGGGCATGTGCCTCTGTATTCACCTGTACATGGTTTCCCTAAACAGTTAGTTCATCAAATTGATGCCCCGTGCTCACTCTCTGCCTGACCGTCTGCTAGCTGTCATCTTTCCCAGGTCTTCTCTCTGGCTTCTAGAGAAAAGGTTGAAAGTTGGGCTTCAGAATTGACTTTACGGGTTTGGCAAGTTACTGAGTGAGAACCCTGAGTCTGGGATTTCCACAACATGATGTTGCAGACCCAGGATTGAAATTCCAAAAGAAAAATGACACCCAAAAAGGCAGAGAGAAAAGGGATTTTATTACCTTCTTTGTGAATTAAACTGAAGTATTTGGGCACACTGAAGCATTTATTTGCTTGTGAAGGATGAGGTCTGTTGGTTGCAGGGGAGACGAAAGAATGTATTCCAGATGCTCTTAGGACTTCTGTGTAAGTAGTCTGAGGATCATCTTAGCTGTTTGCTCAGTTGGTCATGAATTAGTTAGGAGACAAAGTACAATTCTTTCATAGTCTCCTGCTAATAAGTAAAAGTGGAAAAGAAGGGGCTTGAGGAGACCCAAAATATGGACTTTGTGAAGTGGGTCAGAAGGTTAGCCCAGTAAAAGAACATTTAGACCAACTGGAGTGCTTAGAATTACCTAAGAACCAATCAGAACTGAATTCCCAGGAGAATTTCTCACTGCATTCACTAGGTGCTATTCAGACCAGATTCTAGATCTTTCCCTTCCTTTACCATGTGCTCTTAAGTCATCTGGTACTGGACTTAACTGATCACACAGTCCTTCCTCCGGCCGCAGTGGCATTTCCAGTGTCCCTTGTTACCCTCTGGTGTGGTGCTGTGGGTTAATGCGCTGGACTGCAGTTGGTTTGAACTGCAAGGTGGTGGTTCAAGCTCACCAGCCGCTCCTCAGAAACACTATACATTGTCGCTGTGGGTTGAAACCGACTCAACGACACTTAACAACAATCCTGTAGGGCAGGGTAGACCTGCCTCATAGCGTTTTCTAGGCTGCGATCTTTATAGGATCAGATCTCCAGATCTGTCTCCCTCAGAGCCCTGGTGGGTTCAAACTTCCAACCTTTCATTTAGCAGCCAAGCACTTAACCACTGCATCACCAGGGCTCTTTCCCTCCCCCATAGCAAGCAGGTCATTTTGAAGAACAGACATCGGTTCTAGTTTCTGCAGTGCCTTTGAGTGATGTGTGGAATGGGAGGCTGAGCCCCAGACCCCTACCTATATGTATATCTGCTAAGATAGGCGTCCTGGTGTGGTGCTGCAGGATAATGCACTGAACCTCAAGGTCGGCAGTTCGAACTCACCAGTCATTCCTGGGAAACCCTATCCAGTGTTGCTATGAGTCGGAATCAACTCGACGGCACTGAACAGTAACAACAGCAAGATAAAGGTAGGGTGCATCCATAAAAAGAACATTTGGAATTAGAGTGCATTCTGTTTTCTTTTGGATACTTCAGGAAGCACATCTAGTTGCCTTAGTTCATTAGAATGAACCACAGGCCAATGGTTTGGTGATGTCCTTCAAGGGTGGATGGTACCAGAGAGTGATTATTCTAGGATCAGGGAGATTATTTCTCTCTCCTTAAATTAAGCCTCAAGTAAGAACCAGCTACATAGGGTATAAGACAGTTATATTTGGGGCTTCTCAAAATGTAGCTTTTGGGCAACATGGGCCCTTTCCCAACCCGCAAGACGTCGCTGGAGCTAAAGCCTGAAATTTGACATTTAGAAAAGTTTGGAGGATTCTCATACCCACTGAAATTTGAGAAACACTGCCATAGCAGACAGACTGACACTTGGGATAACAATGGCTCATGGTGTGGTGTTAGGCATGCTGCCATCCCTTCTTGTAACCACTGACTCCCTTGGGTGATAGAGGACAAGCTCATCAGCTGAGATTTCAGGGCAGGCAGGGACCTGATACCCCTGAAGTACAGTGGGAGTAAATGGGTGACATGTGGGGCAAAGAGAGAGGGCATGGACAAAGCAGGAACAAAGTCTTAGTGACCTAACTCCAGGGTTCAATCTGGGAAAACTCCAGAGAAGGAATCCTCAGACCAGGCATGTACATACTGCACAGATCTTCCACAAAACACATTGGCTTTAGATGACAGGGTTTTGTCAAGTGATCTCAATAAAGGCACCACTCTGTGCTCACTCACTGCCAATAGTTGCTTCCATTGGACATGAATTCCTCAGCAGAACGCCACATTGCTCTGGGATGAATGACCTCCAAAGAGAACTATGGGATTGTGCTTTTCTTGCCTCATGTTCCCAAGAGGTTTCCTGACAAGAGGCCCAGAGTCTACAAAGGGGGCTCTTGGTTGGTTGGCTCTTTTAACTGCTAACAGAATCAACCTTACACTCTTAGTCCATTGGGCATAGACGGTTTGTGGGGGTTGGATGAGAGTTTTAGAAATGGTGATATGCTAACGTCTAGTGGATGTACAAAGCAATGAAGGAGTTGCCACCAAAGGATGACTCGTGCCCATAATTATCAGGAGGGCAGAATTGTATATGTTCTGCACATCTGAGTAACTGCCTCTGTGAGTCTGAGAATAGTATCGCCCGCAGGAAGGAAGGTAGCGTGAGCATTGGTGCAGTCTTCCAGAAGGAAGAAGGTATCCCAATCTGCCCACTGCCCAGGGGATTTACACCAAGCAATGTACCCAGTGTTGGCGTAAGTCTCTGTCCAGATTCCACTGTTCTCTTGTTAGTAGATCTGGACCCACAATAAGAAAAGGATATTTACTGAATCAGACTTCACCTCAGAATACAGCTTTTACTGCTCGAGTACTCTAGAAACAATCTTCCAGAAGATGAAATGATCCAAGATTCCCCGTATTTATTTATACAAAGATTTTGAGAGTAATATTTGTATTTATCTTTATACCTCAGTCTGTGCGTCTGGGCTGAGTCAGTGTGCATCACACATGCAACTTCCCAGAATGTTTCACGCACAGCACCTGCTTCCAGGGGCGACACATGAACACACGGTCTTGGGAGATGGAAGGAGAGACCCATAATGCCCCGAGGTTGCACAGACCCACAGTCCTGATAGGCACAACTTGACCGGGAAGGTATCTAGCCAAATGTCCAAGGGGAGATACAATTGAAGAGTAAAGCGAGAAGAGGAACCCAGAAAGCAGACAGGAGGGGTAAGCCCTACCCTCTGCTCTCAGTTCAACATATCTACAGGACCCATGTGAGTTGAAGGCCCGAGAACTTCATTACCTGGATTTGCTCCCAGTAATGGCCCATGATGCTGACTGATGTAGAAAGGACAATTTGCAAAAAGAACAGTTCTATCCTTTCTCCCAGGCTGTATGAACTACAGTGCTGGGCCGCCGCAGTAACCTGTCTGAAGGAGAATTTGTATAACAGAATCCAGATTCTCTAGAGCTGATGTGAAGCAGTGATGAGCAGATCTGACCTTGGATCAGAAGTGTCTTCCAGTCTGGCCCTGTCCCAGCCATTCTCTGCCCTTATGACTCCCTACGATGTCCCAAATCCCACTGCCATAAGACATGTCCCCTCTCCATCCCTCTTCCTCCTTCTACATCCCCACTGTCTACAGCACAGAAAGTCTGTGTGACTGAAGAGTTCGACCTTCCCCTAACCAAATCCACACTTGCTTTACCACAGTGATTCTCAGAGCCAGCAAGAAAGAGAATGTTCCCAAAGGACCCTCCATCTCAGCCATTTGCCTGGAGCCGAAGGTCAGGGGCTCCGGGCGTCCAGGTAAGGTCTGTTGCTTTTGTGTTCCCCAAGGAGCGGGCAGTCAGGCAGTGGCAGTTCTCTCTCGCTCTCTCTGTCGCAGGCGGCATCTCAGCTACACTTACAGGACTTCACCACCATGTTGGAGAGTTGTTCCACCTTGGGGGTCCTTCCAACATAGTACAGGATGGTCAGGGGCTCCAGGTCCTGAGGCACACAGCAGGGTGAGGCAGATGCTTCAGGATTCAGGGTATTGTACATTCCCAGCACCTGGGAAGGGCGACATTCGAGGTTAGAAAGCCAAGTCCCACTGGGCATCTAGGAGTTCTACACATTCCGGGGGCTGCTCCAGAGACCCAGCAAGTGGGAGAATGGTCAATTGTTGTTAAGTGCTGCTGAGCTGGTTCTGACTCAGAGACCCTGCAAAGGGTTTCCAAAACTATAAATCTTTACAGGAGCAGAAAGCCTCATCTTTTTCCCGAGAATGGCCACTACTAGCTATATTTAAATGAGTAATCGTTGGAACACAGTGGGGGTGGGTGAGTGACTAGTCACTTTCATCCCCAGAGACCGACTGTAGAACATGTACACTTACTTGAGGGCTATCAGTGAAAACATATAATAGTTATTGATGTTTTAAGTATTGTCGAGTCAGTTCCAACCCATATTGATCCTATACAGGGTTTTCCAAAGAGTTGCTGGTGAGCCAGAACCACCCACCTTGCAGTTCAAATGACTTTGCAGTCTAGCGCATTAACCCACAGCACCACACCAGGAGTTTAGGCAGCCTTAAATTGATAAGAAAATTCTCCTAACCCCTACCCCTGCAAAACAGCAAAAACCAATTGGTGTCAAGTCAGTTCTTGCTCCCGGAGACCCCATGTGTGTCAGAGCAGAACTGCTCCATTCAGTTCAACGACTCTGATCTTTCAGAAGTAGATCAGAGTCGCTAACTTTTCAGTTTGTAGCTGGACAGTTACCGCTATACCATCCAGGTGTTCTCTTGACTGTTAGAAAACACTCCTACACTGAACTTAGCTGTAAACTGGTCACTTTGATGAGAAACATTCCCACTAAACATTGCTTGTCTTGTTTAGAAAGCCCTCAACAGGGTATACTGCAAATGGCCTATAAGAAAACTTGCTTCACAAACTTTGGCACTATTTTTGGTCCTCTTGAGGGAAAGACAAGGTAGTTTGAGAGAGACTGGCACTCCCTGTCTAACTCTGACTTTCTCTGACTAGTGTTTCAAATTAGCTGCTTTTACATGCTTCCTATTGGTCTTTTAGAATCACCTTCTAAATGGAATTATCCAGTTTCCCAAAGTCACAGTAGAAGCGTTTTTGCCTCAACATTCCTTGTTAACTAACCATGTACACATATCCCAAGCCCATAGCTGCAACTGGGGTACCAAGTGATAGCTAATTAATCTCCACGGTCCAAAAGCTTTGGACAAAGCAAATTTAAAGTCTTGTTGAAACTATGGAAGTGATTTTAAAGGGAAGAAGATGACCAAGTAGAGTTAGGCCAGGGTGCCAAGACCAGAGGGATTTTATTCCCTCCTGACCATCATCCACTCATTCAGCATTCAGTCCTCCATTCATTCTAAGCAGTATCCTGGGTGGCTTAGCCCCAGTGCCCCACTGGGCCCGGGGCCCTGTTCCATACCGTGCTGTGGGTTGTGTCTGTGCTTCGGAGGTATGGGCAAGGGCCTGAGCAGAAGTTGGCATAGTAACCTTTAGGTTCATGGACCCATTTCCAGCCCAGATCCTGTCGGAAGTCAATGTAGAGAGGGCGCACACAGCAGTTCTCCTCCAAGTTGCTACAACAAAAATATAGACAGAAAATAAAAATAAATAATAAAAGGAAACTACCAATACAGAGAATTTCATAAATGGACTTGGTAATTGCACTTAGGGTCCCTTCCCAGCCATGAGCAAAGGTGGCTCTAATAATGGAATCCAAGGCTCAAGTGCCTAGGACTGAAGAAATCTTAAAGGCATCTTCCTATTATGTCCTTGGGATCCTAGTTTTCAATGTAGGAACAGTCCTTTAAATTTGCATCGCCAACCTCGAGGTTCAAACCACTATAAGGTCAGTTTGAACCTCAAAAGGTTGTTGATTCAAACCTGTCAGCTGCTCCTTGGAAACCGTATGCAGAGTCATTATGAGTCAGAACCGACTCAACAGCACTTAACAACAACATAGATGCTGTGTGAGGAAGAAAAAAGAGGCAAAGATGGCCACTTGCTTCTTAAAAGCTCCTGTAAAAGGCTGAATCAAAACAGAAATGTAAAGTGATCCACATGAAACCAAGCCCTAAATGTTACTAGTCAACTCAGCTTTGGTGTGGTTGGTTTATTGTTACCTTCCTAACGACACCCAACCAGAAATGAACTCTAAATGTATGTAGCTTATAAACCATAGTAAGTAACTACTTAGCCTAAATCAAAACAAAGCGTATCTTACTATTACAATCACTATTCCCAGATCTGCTCAAATGTGACTATGTTGTTGTTGTTGTTGTTAGGTGCCATCAACTTGGTACCGACTAACAGCGACCCTATGCACAGCAGAACAAAACGCTGCCTGATCCTGGGCCAAACTCACTACTATTGCCACACCTGAGTCCATTGATGCTGCCACTTGACCAATCCATCTCGTTGGGGGTCTTCCTCTTTTTCTCTGACCCTCCACCTTACCAAACATGATATCCTTCTCCGGCGACTGGTCCCTCCTGACAGTATGTCCGAAGTATGAGAGATGAAGTTTGGCCATCTTGGCCTCCAAGGAACACTCTGCCTGCACTTCTTCCAAAACAAATCTATTGGTTCTTTTGGCAGCCCATGGCACTTTCAATATTCTCCTCCAATACCATAATTCAAATGCATCAATTCTTCTACACTCTTCCTTATTCACTGTCCAGCTTTCACATGCATATGAGGTAATTAAAAATACCATGGCTTGGGTCAGGCGCACCTTAGTCCTCAAGCTGACATCTTTGCTCTTCAGCACTTGAAAAAGGTCTTGTGCAGCAGATTTGCCTAATGTAATACGTCGTTTGATCTCTTGACTGCTGCTTCTGTGAGTGTTGATAGTTGATCCAAGAAGAATGAAGTCCTTGAGAACTTCAATCTTTTCTCCGTTGATAAGAGTGTTGTTTATTGGTCCAGTGGTGAGGATTTTTGTTTTCTTTACATTGAGATGTAATCCTTACTGAAGGCTTTGCTCTTTGATCTTCATCAGTAAATGTTTTAGGTCATCTTCACTTTCAGAGGTTGTATCATCTGCATATCACAGGTTGTTAATGAGTCTTCCTCCAATCCTGATGCCACGTTTTTCTTCATATAACCCAGCTTCTTGGATTATATTTGCTCAGCATACAGGTTGAATAAGCGTGGTGAAAGAATACAACTTTGTTGCACACTCTTTTAAATTTTAAGCCATTCAGTGTTCCCATGTTCTATTCGAACAACTGCTTCTTGGTTCATGTACAGATTCCTCATGAGTACAACTGAGTGTTCCGGACTATGAGACCCCTTCAATTCTGTTGCTGCAGAAACCCATTTAACAGTACCCCTTGCCATGTGGGCATCTAGCCTCTGCGTCAATATTTGCTGAGACCTAGATCTTGTTACTTCCAAAGGCAGCTATTGGCCAAAATCTGACTTCTTGTGGGTTCCACGGGTGAACCTATGGCAAACATTATTGGTTATCTAGCCAATAGCCATTTTTAACCTCCATCGCCCTTGCCACCTCCCACCACAAACTCTGGAAAGCCAGATGCTCACTTTCCTGGCCTTCCTTGCATGAAGGGGTAGTCCTGTGGCCCAGTAATGACCAATCAGATATAAGGAGATCTTGTGGGTTAATGCACCAGACAAAGCCGTACAAACTGCAAGGTCGGCGGTTCAAGCTCACCAGCTGTTCCTTGGAAACCCTATACAGGGTCGCTAAGGGTCGGAATCGACTCAACGGCACTTAACAACAACAACAACAATGCAGGGGCTGCAGGTAAGGTCTGCAACAGATATTTGTCTATAAAAGTAACAAATGGAAGACAGTAGCTGCTGGCTCTTCCCTTACCCTCCTCTTCCTGTCTTGAACACATAGCTGTAGCAGCCACTTATGGTCATAAGTAAGAGGCCGAAAAGCCAACATGCGAGGGATAATGGAATGTTTTCATGAACTTTTGAAGTCCCCTTGTACTCAACAGAGCAGATTGGAGGGGGGGAAATGCCTGTGTCGTCAATGGCATAATTAAACAGCAAGACCAAGCCTGAACCAACCACTATAGACTTCTTGTCTATTGTTGTGTTGTTAAGGACCATCGAGTCAGTTCCGACTCACAGAGACCCTATATAGGGTTTCTGAGGAGCGGCTGGTGAGTTTGAACTGCCAACCTTGCGGTCAAGTGCTTATCCTTAAGCACTTACTTGCAGTCTAGAGCATTCCTACCAAATCTACATGACAGTCTCAGACAATCTACATGACAGTCTCAGACAATCTACATGACAGTCTCAGACAATTGAAGGAGACCATTGTTTCTCCTAGACCTTCTGTTCCCCAGATCAACAGACCTAGTTCATTCAGTTGCTCCTTATAGGACATGATTTTCAAGTCTAAAGATTTTCCAATTCATTCTCCCCAACTCCATCATGGTCTGTTTATGTTCCTTCACTTGAAGCGTTCCCTCCTCCCATAGCCTTACAGAGTCAGTCCCCAGGTGTCCCTAAAGGCTCAGCTCAGGTTCCACAACTTTCTGAAGTCTTTCCTGTGGCTACTGATGAACTCCCTGCTTCAAATTCTGAAAGCACTGATCCTTAACCTTCTCCTGGATATAATCACTTTCTACTTTCACGTAATTTGTAAGAAGTTGAGCGGATTTTATCTCTGTGCAGCCACTACCCAAGTCTTTCTGACTTAGTTTGTTAATTTCTCTAGCTCATTTCTCCCTGCAGATGGAGACAGCCTTGTTTTCCCTCACCTAGTAGCATCCTTAAACCTTTCATAGGGAACTGAACACTTCTTTGATGGAAATTCCCGCATTAATTTCCCCTCCACCCCCCCACCCACACACCCTACAAGTACTTTATAAAACATGAAAACCACAGAGAGGTTTCAGCCAAGCCACTCCAATCCAAACTATTTTAATAGTATTCTCCTCCTTATGGAGTTTTTCTCATGTGTTTCATCCAGGCCCTTCTAGAGCTGGGCTGCAGGAAAACAGCTGGGCTCTCAGAAAACAGATTTGTAAGAGATTTAATATCTTCTTTCCTGAGATATTTCTGAACAACATCAAGGACGCTCAGTTCAGCACAGGTTAAGGCTGGGGCCTGACCCACAGCAGGTCCCAGTAGAAATTGTTTCTGGAGTTCCCAGGTCCCGTTTGGGTACAGGCTTACCGGAAGCAGTAATTAGTGTCCAGGGCCCGCTTCTTCCTCTGTGCTCCCTGGCCTGGGTTGTCGAGCCGGTGCGGGGGAATCATCATTAGGATTAGATGAGGGTTGTGGTGACCCTTCTGCTTCTTGAGGCGCCCCAGGTCCCCACGACCATGGTCATCCTCACTGTCCACACCTGCAGACGGGAAGAGAGGAGACAATCTCCTAAGGAAGGGCAGGGTACATGTGGAAATGTTGAAGGCTGCTTTCTCTTCCCTACATCGCTGCCCAGGAAAGGTATCAGAGAGGCTAGTGCAGCTCCATCCTAATGTCTAACTTCAGGATGAGGAAGACGGAGTGACTGGAGAAGCCCAAACCAAAAGTACTCAATTATCTTTACAAAGTACGACTTCCGATGCTCAGGGTCTGATCCCTGCCAGACATCTGTGTCTAAATCATCCAAGCCCTTCCTGGGAAATTTCATGGATTGGTGAAGCACAGATGGATACCTTTGGGTTATCAGTTTAGGCTTGAGACAGAATCCTGGGGTACTTTTGTCTTGTAATTAAAATTCTTCAAGACAACACAGAAATACTATCTACAATTTAAGGTGTTAATTTAATTTAGGTTGAATAGAAGCCAAGTGAACAAAACTTTGAGTAAACTGTTAACATTTGCACTGCACTTACAGATTTAAGAATGTTGTTTTAACAACATTATTTAAACTATAAATTTCAACTAAATGAAGGACAGGAGCATGAAAATTGTAATTCACATTGAGGAGGGACACGGGCCTTAGGAAGGGGCACCAAGACTCTAAGATCAACAGGAGACCTGGATCTCAAATTCTATTTTCTGAAAATGTTTATGAAGGAGATGAGCCTTCTGAAGTGGGAGAGTTTTTGCTAACCAGGGTCTGTAGATAAGAATTCTGAAGGTCTTCTGAGCCCTGGGGTCTATGTTTGTTAGCATGTAAACTCCTTGGTTTTTAGAAAATAGACTCTGAAATAGAGTTATATAGGTTATATAAATAGGTTCTAGAACTGCCCAGGGCAGAGAGCCAAGTGAGGTCTGCACCTTTGTCCAGACAAGTCTGTACAGCCTTAGACAAACCTAACTTCAGGTGTACCTCAGTTACTCAAAAGGGGAATATGACTGGTAAAAGAACTTCCCTGAAACCCAGAGATCATCTAGGCTGAAAACATACTGACAAACCAGAAAGGACTCTTAGCCATCTCAATACAAACACCATGGAAAAACACAAAGCATTCTTCCACACCCAGCTGGTTCCTGGGCAAGGTCAAGTGGACCCTGCCACATCTAGAATGGAGGGCACTCAAACTCAAGACGACATAAGTTCACTTCTTGCAGAGAAGAGCTTTCCTGGCACTGTGGTTTACATCTTGATCTCATTTAATTGGCAGAACAACCTATAAAAGAGGTTCTCTCATTCTCATTTTAAGACAATAGAGCAGGACTGGATTCCAACCTGGGCCTAACTGATTTCATTCCTCTCAATGTATTGTCTATATTATAAATTGAACTTAACATTCATAGGTTTGGGGACAAAGTAGAACTACTCAAGTCCAGAAAGAGTTGGTTATCTCTGTGAGGGAACTTGATCCCTTTTCTTGGTATCTGTCTAGTAGGAGTCTCCTGTTCTGCCTCCCTAACTCCCCATCCACCCTGCCCGATACATCCATTTATTACCTTTGAATTTGATTTCCATCACCTCATGAATGTTTTCCAGGATATCCCCATTGGGCTGAAAGGTGTGACATGGACAATGAATGCTGATTTCCAGACCTAAGTTGGACTCTGCAAAAGAAAGCGCAGTATCAGTGAGGGCATCGTTTTGCGTGATGGGGAAGTATGCCCATTCCCCATGCAAGGGTGGTCCAGGGCCTCTCCTTCCATAGGAACTGTGTCATACTGAGAGTTGCGGGATACAATGAGTGCTTCCCCAGCTCAGACTTTCACATACATGGTGCCACGTTCCATGTAGTTCTATAACATTACGAGCAATCACATGGGTGTAATAAAGGATATAACAAAGAAGAGTAGTCATGTACTTTCAAAGGATGAAAGTAGAATAAAGCTGTTACCTACTTACTAGCAAAGAATAAAGAGACAGGAAAGAAAGACAAAAAAGTCATACTACTTAAGTGTTTGTTGGGAGAGGAGATATTCGATCCAACCTACTGAGGAAGTATAAAGAGAACTGTAGGAGACCAGGGAAAGGAGGTATGTGAAGAACTTTGGGACAGAGAGGTGGTGGTCTTGTCTTGATTCAAGAGACTACAAGATGGAAAGTGGCATAGTCTGAGCAATAGGAAGAAAAGTTAGGAAACATTGCTAGAAGCAAGGTCACCTGCAAACAAGAAGCTGGATCAGTCTAGCTATCTAGACACCAGGACTTCTACACAGAAAACAATGGAAGAGATAAGATGAAAAATCCTGGTGACACTCGGCCATATTTTCCTTAAGGAGCAAAGGTATAATGAAGTAAAAATTATTTGGAGACTTATTCTATGCGGATAACCTGTTTCCTTTCATTTGTTGTGGTTGGCTGCCTGATGCAAAACAAAACAAAACAGCCCTTGATGGGAAGTTGGAAATGTGGATCATTCACAATCAGTTCTGGAAGACAGTTGTAGAGCTAGAGAGTAGACCAAAGGAAGTGACAAGGGGCCATAGCCCAGGGTCCAGATGACATGAGTTCAGAGAGACAGGCACGGGGTAGCCTGGAAGTGCCATGGTATGGTGACTGATATGCCGGTGCCAGAAGGCCAGCTCTGTTCCTTTCTCCCATTAGTCATGGGATCAGGTGTTTTGGCAACCACCATCAGGGCATTAGAGAAATTTGTAAAAGGGGTTGAGTGAAATGGGATCAGGAAAGGGGACGGGGAGGAAGAATCAGAAGTAACTGAAAAGTTTAAACTGGCTCAAGTAGTTTGGTAAGGGAAAGTTTTGTCAGTTCTGGTGAATAAGATTCAAGTAGGAGAACTCTCTTGATTTGGGGGCAGTAGCCAGCTTTGGTCAGCTATAAAAATCATTGGAGATGAATCCCTCTGGGTGAGCTGATTGATTTACTGCTCCCCTAAGGAGCCCTGGTAGTGCTGTAGAATAAGCACTGGACGGCTAATCATAAGGTCATTGGTTCAAACCCAACAGCCACTTTATAGAAAGATGAAGCTATCTGTTCCTATAAAGATTTACAGTCTCTAAACCCTCTAGTAGCATAGTTGTTATGAATCGGGCTGCTAACCTAAAGGTCAGCAGTTCAAAACTACCAGTGGTTCCACGGGAGAAAGATGAGGCGTTCTGTTCCCGTAAAGATTTACAGCCTCAGAAACCCTGTGCAGAGTCACTATGAGTCAGAACCGACTCCACGGTACTTAACAACAACAACAACAAACCCTATACAGGGTCACTATGAGTTGGAATCAACTCGACGGCAGTGAGAATGGGAGTCCACCCTACTTCTGAATGAATATCTGGCTTCCGGGACAAACAATTGGATGAGATCCATATTTATGCCCATTCCAAAGAAAGGTGACATAACAAAATATGGAAATCATCTAACAATATCATTAATTCGTAATATCATGCAAATAAAATTTTGCCAAAGATAATTTAAAAATGAATGCAACAGCACATCAACAGATGTACTACCAGGAATTCAGGCTGCATTCCGAAGAGGACATGGAAAGCGGGATTATTGCTGACATCAGACAGACGTTAGCTGAAAGCAGAGAATACCAAAAAGATGTTTCCTTGTGCTTTATTGACCATGCAAAGGCTTTTGAGTATATGGATCATAACAGTGTGAAGAATGGGTCTTCCAGAACACTGCATTGTGCTCAGGAGGAACCTGTACATAGATCAGGAGCAGTTGTTTGAACAGAACAAGTGGATATGGCTTAAAATCAGAAAAGCTGTGTGCCAGGGTTGTGTTTTTCACCATACTTATTCAACCTGTATGCTGAGCACATAATCCGAGAAGCTGGATTATATGAAGAAAAACATGGCATCAGGATTGGAGGAAGACTCATTAACAACCTGCGATATGCAGATGATACAGACTTGCTAGCTTGAAGTGAAGAGGACTTAAATACTTACTGATGAAGAACAAAGCCCACAGCCTTCAGTATGGATTGCACCTCAATGTAAAGAAAACAAAAATCCTCACAACTAGACCAATAAATATCATCATAATAAATGGAGAAAAGACTGAAATTTTCAAAGACTTGTTTTGTTTGAATCCACAATTAACACTCATGGAAGCAGCAGTCAACAAATCAAATGACATATGGCATTGGGCAAATCTGCTACACAAGACCTCTTTAAAGCGTTTAAGAGCAAAGATGTCAGCTTGACGACGAAGGTGCACCTCACCCAAGCCATGATATTTTCAATAGCCTCCTATGCAGGTGAAAGCTGGACAATGAACTTGCCCAAATAACTGGTTTCCCTACTTCTTTCTTGACCTCAGGCAGCCAGAGGGATCTTTTAAAGATGGACAACAAATCCCCATACTCCCCACTCTCAGTCCTGCTTATAGCCCACCCAGGGATTTTCCTTACAACTGGAACAAATCCAACATCCTAAAAAAAAAAAAAGACTAGAATTGATGCATTTGAGTTATGTTGTTGGAGAAGAATATTGAAAGTACCATGAACTTCCAGAAGAACAAACAAATCTTTGTTGGAAGAAGCACAGCCAGAATGTTCCTTAGAAGTCAGGATGGTGAGACTTTGTCTCTCATACTTTGGACATGTTATTAGGAGAGGTCAGTACCTGGAGAAGGACATCATGCTTGGTAAAGTGGAGGGTCTTTGAGAAAGAAAAAGACCCCAACACGACTGATTGGCACAGTGACAGCTACAGTGGGCCCAAGCATAACAGCTGTGACGATGGTGTAGTGTTTCATTCTGTTGTGCATAAGGTCACTATGAGTCAGAACGGACTTGTCAGCACCTAACAACTGGTAGTGTAGTGGTTACGAATCGGGCTGCGAACCTTAAGGTCAGCGGTTCGAAACTACCAGCCGCTCCGCGGGAGAAAGATGAGGCTTTCTACTCACGTAAGGATTTACACCCTCGGAAACCCTGTACAGGGTCGCTATGGGTCGGAACCGACTCGACGGCACTTAACAACAACAACAACAACAATAACCAGCAGGTTGCCTGAACAATAGCCCAAGGGTCTGAGGATCTGGGCCCCTCCCATGAAGAAGACTTCAAGTAGCTCTAGGTGCCTGGTACAGAGGAGGCTCTCAGATATTTGCTGAATATATCCAAGACCATACCTGTGACTCAGTTTCTTCATCAACCCACACCACTAACTCTCCATTAGAAATCCATTTCTGCCTTGTTTGGGGCATGAACTCAGAAGAATCCTTGGGCTCTGTATAGATAGATACAGGTTTGTGGTAGGATTCCCTTGTGGGAGGGAGGGGTGGGCAACATCTGCCTGAATGGGAACTGCAAGTTCCAGTGAAGTTCTAACCTCAGAATTGGCAGCATTGGGGATGGTGGGTGGGGAACCCATAGGTTTTATTACGAAATTATCTTTTTGATGTCTCAAGGAGGATGGAAATCATTCTCAATGCAAAATTCTCATTGAGTTCTGCAGCTGTGAAAATAAGAACTCCGTCAAGTGCCCATGGCTTCAAAGAAATTCAGGTGGAGCTGATCAAAATCAGACGGGGAAGTTAAGCAATTCATTTCCCTAGCCTCTCCTTTCTGTAGCCAGGTTGGGCTCTAGGCAGAGTGCTGAGTCAGAATTCCCACCAGTGCAGCTGACCGCAGATCCTGGAGGATTCTCCTAGGCTTAGTAGTAGCTCTGGGAGCCAGGTGGGGAAGCTGAGTGAGTGGTTGACAGATTTGGGATATGCACAGTCTGATACGTCTATTGATCAACTTGATGACTAATCTCATTGCCAGCGAGTCGATTCCAACTCATAGCAATCCTGTAAGACAGAGTAGAACTGCCCCACAGGGTCTCCAAAGCTGTCATTCTTTATGGAAGCTACCTCTTTCTCCCATGCAGTTGCTGGTAGGTTCCAACTGCTAACCTTTCAGTTAGCAAACACCTTAAACATTGAGCCACCTGGGGTTGGATGTCTAGCAGATCTTTCCAATTTCATGGTTTAAAACAGAGCCTGCCTCACACTTGGTCTTCTCTCGGTCTCCCCTATTCTAATAAGTGACACCACCCAGATACTCCGTCCAAACACTTAGAAGTCATCCTAGATTACCCTTGCTTCTTCTCACCCCATTATGTAATCAGTCTGACCTATCGGCTCTACCTCCATAATAATAACTCCTCCATCTATAATCTCCATTGCCACTGCCCCCACCCTAGTCTAGCCCCCATTACTCCTCTGGGCAGCTGCCATGGCCCCTCATTGCTTCTTTCTTGACCTCATGGCAGCCAGAGGGACCTTCTAAAGATGGACACCCAAGTCTCCCCACTCCCCACTCTCATCCCTGCTTATAACCCACTCAGGGATTCTCCTCACAATTGGAACAAGTCCAAAATCCTAACCACAGACTTCTTGCTGCTGCTGCCATTGAGTTGGCCCATGACTGATGGCAACCACATGCACAATGCGAAATGCTGCTTGATCTTGTATCATCTCCATGATCAGTCTTGGTTGACTGGATTGTTGGGAGTCATGGAGTTCTCACTGGCTGATTTTTGGAATTAGATCATCAGTCCTTTCTTCTTATTCTGGATGCTCTACTGAAATCTGCCTATTTTCACAGCAACAGACCAGCATCCACAGATGGATGAATGAGGTGCACTGGCCGGGAATCAAACCCAAGAATTCTACCCTTACCATGGCCTTACTGGTATCAAATCTTATGGCCCTAGATGACTCCACTTCATACCATTCTCCCCCCATCTCTTGACGCGCCAGCCCCATCACAGTCTGTTTGCTACTACTGGAACATGTTCCACCTGAGGGCCTGGCCCTTGGCGCTTCCTTTGCCTAGAATATCCTTTTTTCTGACCGTCAATCAGATCTCAACACGCCAATTTCTCCTCCAGAGAGGCCTTCTTTGGGCAAACCATCTAAGGAATGTTGGACCTCACCTAGTCATGATCACATTACCTTCTTTCTATTTTTCATATACTTATCATTATCTAAAATTCGGATTTGTTAGTTTGTTTAGTTGTTTATTATGCGTCTCTTCCACCAAAGCAAAAGCCTCATAAAATCTGGAACTTCACCTGTCTTCTTGTTTATTGTCAAATCCCCAGAGCCTGGCTTGTTGTTGTTAAATGCCATCAAGTCAGTTCCAACCCAAAGTGACCCTGTATATGGTTTCCGAAGAGTGGCTGGTGGTAGGTTTGAACCGTGAACCTTGTGGTTAGCAGTGTTTATCCAACAGCATCACATCAGGACCCATTAGAGTGAGCATTTAATACATATGAGTTGAGTGAGTTGAATGAATGAAGATTACACAGAAAGTCAGGAGCAAAACTAGGCTTTGAACACAGATCTTGTGACTACCCTAGTCCTGTCTTCTCTCTGTTTCATGAAGGACCAAGGGACCATCCAAGTGGACATCCTAAGAGCCAACCTACCTCTTCGCAGGAGCCACTCGCGCACAGTGTCAGTGACATCAAAAGACAGCCACTCAGCGGTGCCCCGCGTGGGCAGATTCTTCCCACCAATGTAGCGCTGTTTGGCGATGTGCTCATCTGGTCTAAGTATCTGCAGGGTAGAGAAAAGGGTCAGTGCCCGGGGCCAGAGCCAAGTAGGACAGGCTGTGCCAAGTACAGGAGAACAGATGAGGGGAGCAAAAGGACACCCTGAGTTTTGAATGCTGGGTTCTTCAAACATCTTCACCAGATCTCTTAATCTTCTGAATACCAGATACTGCTAGTGTTAGGTGGCATCGAATCTATTCCAGTTCACATTCCTATGTACAACAGAACAAAACACCATCTGGTCCTGTGCCAAACAGAATGGTTGTTCTGTTTGGACCCCTTGTTGCAAGTCCTGTGTCAATCCATCTCATTGAGGGTCTTCCTCCTCTTTACTGACCCTCCACTTTATCAAGCATGATGTCCTTCTCCAGGGACTGGTCCCTCCTGATAATATGTCCAAAAGGAATTACAGATACAGACACTAAAGGGAAGACTTAGAGAAGCCAGGATTCAAACCCAGGTCTGCCAAACTCTGCATGGTATGGAGGCCTGATAGAGTAAAGGAATGGGCTTTCTCTGTGTTGGGAGGACTTACCTGGAAGAGCTCGATCCTCTGCTCATTGCGCTTGGAGCTGGGATTGGGTACCCGCAGGACCCGAAATTCTGCTCGGAAAAGGTTGGTTCTATTTTTCTCCACCGAGGACACATTGAAGCGGAAAACCTTGGAAGTGATTCCTTTGGGGCAGACGGCCAGCTCATCTAGGAGGCAAGTGACAGGAGGGGCTGAGCATGTATGAAATCTATGTGGCAATGCGCTGCCAACTGACACTCTCGGTGGCCAAGGTTCCACCTATGACCTTTCTAGAAGTTGAGACCTCTGACCTAAGGGTGGAGAATCAGGGTGGCCCTGGACTCAAACACAGGCCTGAACCAGGAGCAGTAAACCCCAGGATATAATCCTAAAGGCTCAATGTAGCTGCCTCCTCTCCCATTGCCTGGACATTCAACTATTGTCCTGCCTTCCAGCCTGAAAAAAAAAAAAAAAGCCACTGAGTAGATTCCAACTCTTGGTAACTCCGTGTGCATCACAGTAGAAACGTCCTCCGTAGGGTTTTCAATGGCAGAGGCACCTCTGACAGGACTTGACCCTCCATTTCTGTTCGCAGCTGAGCACGTCAACTGTTTGCTACTCCTGGCTGTTCTGATGCTTTTAGGAAACAAGGTTTTTCCGATGAGCTCAGCAATTCCCCTTCCCCAGTTGTTTAATCACAATGTAGCTAGTTGGGTCTTCCATGCCTTTGTTCATTTCATACATTTATTCACTGATCCAACGTGCACTGAGCTTAAACGCTGGAAAGCAAAGATGCATAGACACAGCTCCTGCTAGCAAGAAGATGCATACCTAGGGGATGTCAGTGCTAGATGGACCCAAATAACAGGCCCAGAGGGAAAGTGTTGGGAGCCATTAGAGAGGCCCAGAACGTGCTGTAGGAGACCAGAGGCAGGAGAGCAGGGACCAGGAGATACTTGTGGATACATTTCAGGAGATACATTTCATCTGGGCTCTGCAGGAAGGTAGGGTTTGAAGTTACAGAAGAGAGATTTCACCTGGAAGGACTATTGAGCCTGAAGGCTGAGAGGGGAAGAAATGCAAGTGGGTAAGAGGAACTGACCGCAGGAAACCAGAACCTGGTGAGAAGTCAAGACCTTCTACTGGGATTCTCCTGTGGGAAGGCTGAAATGTCAGAATAAAGGGTTAGATTTGATCCCATTCACAATAAATAGGGAGCCACAGAAAGTCTTTGAGCAGTAGAGTGGTATAATCGGCATTGTATTTTCAACCTACCAAGGCAGCATTCATACCTGAGTCCAGCAGGTCCACAGGTGTTTCCTCAGACCACGTCTGCCTGTCACCCTCACCTGCTCTTTAAGGGTATCTTTCTCTGACAGCATGTGCTATGTCAGCCCCATTGACCTCCCTGCCCCCTCATCCCATCTGCGAGACAGAAGGTAGCAAGTGCTCTCCCAGTCACAGCAAAGCAAGAGCCTGGCTTTCCTCGGCTTCTCTAAACATGCTTGACATCCCGAGGGTGCTTGACATCCCGAGGGTCCGAGCAGCATTAACACCCAGAGAAGAACTCCGCACAAATGGTAACAACAGCCAGAAGGTGAAATTCAAGCTCAGAGACCCAGATTCCACACATAATGGACATGGCTGGAATGAGTTCCTAATCACCCGGAGGGGTGGTTGAGGAAGTCACGGACAAGGCGGGAAGGATCAGAGGCCTGGAAACAAGCAAATGCGCTACTGATCTTCAGGAAAGGGTGAGTGGGTGCTTCTGGAAATTGCCATCTGGTAGACCTGACATGGGATCGTAGAAAATTAATGGAACAGATGTTAGGAAAACAAATGTGTGAGTACTGGTTAATGAGGCCCTGATTAATCATTGGCTTTGAAAGAACAAATTCTGCCAACTATCCTCCAAAGCATTTCAGATGGCAATAGAACAAGGAGGCGGTGATAGAGATTTAATTTATAAGCTTGTTGTTGTGAAGTGCCGTTGAATCAGTTCCGACCCATAGCGACCTGTATAGGGTTTCCGAGGAGCAGCTGGTGAGCTTGAACCACTGACCTTGCAGTTCAAATAGCTTTGCAGTCTGATGCATTAGCCCACAGTACCACACACATGTGGAATCTGACAAAACGTAGGTACTGAGATACTTGAGTTGTGAAGGAGGATCATCAACAGCATGGCTTCGGTTCTGATAGTGCCTCCAGTACCTGGGGGTGCAAGTGCAATGTGTGGGCTGCTCTAAAAAGGGGAATGGAAGGTGGCACGTGCAGCAAGGAGAGTCAGAGAGCTCAAGGAGATGGGAAGCTGAGTAGATGGGGCGGGGTTGGGGTCATGAGCTAAGAGTCCTCAGGACGCCATAGGATGTGAGCATCCCTCCTTGGTTTTTTCCAAACCACAGATCAAATATCTGTCCCTAATGTATCTGTGGCGTCCTGGTGTGGTACTGTAGGATAAGCACTGGACTACTAAGCATAACGTAGGTGGTTCAAACCCACCAGCTGCTCCTGTTGTGGGAATTTCTAAGGGACTTCAAGAAGGAAGTGGGAAGGGTCATTTTTTTATCACCAGGATCTAGAGATTGACAGAATGAGGAAGGGCATGGGGGTCATTTAGAATAACCCTCTTCAGATGAAGAAACAAAGACCCAGACCCAGAGAAGTCTTGGCCAGGCTCACCTAGTGAGTGAGTTAGCACTAGCAAGCAAATCTAGACACAACAATCAGTGTTTAAAAAGAAGTGCCCAAGAGAGAAAAGAAAATGCCCGTGTGTGTAATCTTCTCGGCCATTAAATGATGATGACGTTGGAAATCACCAGCAAAACAAGCCAGAGTGGAAATAATTAAACGAAATATAATGATGCCACCTCGGAGTCCTGGTGTGGCACTGTGGGTTAATGCACCAGACTGCAAAGTTGCTTTGAACCTCAAGGTCGGTGGTTCAAGTTCACCAGCCACTCCTTAAAAACCCTAGACAGCATTGCTATGGGCGGGAACCGATTCAACAGCACTTCACAACAATGATGCCATCTTATATTTTTATAGTGCTAACCAATCTTGAGGATAAGCACTGGACCATAAGATTAGTTTGAACCACAAGGTCAGTCAGTGGTTCAAACTCATCAACCACTCCTTGGAAACCCTATGCAGGGTCGCTATGAGTCGGAACCGACTCTACAGCACTTAATAACAACCACCATTTTATCAATGAAAAGATTTTCCTAAGGTTATTGGGTGAGATTTGAAGTCAGGTCTTCAGAATTCACCTTCCTTGTGAAAGCAGATATTCTGGAAGGGTACATTCCCGTACAGAGATGTTGTTGTGAAGTGTCATCCAGTCAGTTCTGACTCCCAGTGACCTTGTATAGGGTTTCGGGGGCTTTTAAAATCTTTCTCCCATGGAGAGGATGATGGGCTCTACCCACAGATTGTTGTGGGGTTTTTTTGTTTTTTTTTTGCATTCCAGTGCTTATCCTATGGAGCCACCATGCTCCCAGTAAAGGGGTGGTGGTGGTGGTATACTGTGGCGTCGGTTCCGACTCATAGCGAGTCTGGCTAGGGTTGCCAAGGCTGTAAATCTTACAGGAGCAGAAAGCCTCATCTTTCTCCCGCAGAACGGCTGGCAATTTTGAACTTCTGACTTTGAGGTTAGCAGCCTAACTCGTAACCAATACGCTACCAGATCTCCTTAGTAAAGGGGTTGTTGTTAAGTGCCGTCGAGTCGATTCCTACCCATAACGACCCTGTATAGGGTTTCCAAGGAGCAGCTGGTGAGCTTGAACCACTCACCTTGCAGTATTTGTACAGAATGTTGTTGTTGTTAAGTGCCGTTGAGTCGGTTCCGACCCATAGCGACCCTGTACAGGGTTTGTACAGAATAGTGATGGAAAAACCATGGAATAGCACACCATATTTCCTTCAACTGACTGGGCTCTTAGGAGTACCTATGTTTATATACAGGTAGTCCCCAAATACCTGATTACCTGACTGATTTAAGGGCAACACCAACTTGCCATTTATCATTGTTGTTGTTAAGTGCCATTGAGTTGGTTCTGATCATGTATAGATAGGGTTTCCAAGGAGCGGCTGGGGAGTTTGAACTGCCGCCCTGTGATTCAAAACTATCTTGCAGTCCAGCGCATTTACCGCAAGTGTCATCCCAGGACTCCTAGCTTGCCCTTTTTAAAAAAAAAAAGAAAAAGTTTTATTGTGAATTATGTGATAGTTTACATGGGAGAACATTAGTTTTACATTCATCCTATCATATATCGTTTCATTGCCATGGTTACAATCCCCTTCATGCATCATCAACCAACCAAAGGGTATACCCTGTAAGCCTGCCCCCCCCACCAGCCCCACCCACCTGGTCATCAGCACACAGCCCCTCTCCCTCTCTGGATCTAAAGTCCCCAGCCACTCCATCTCTCCACATCATTGTCTCTGCCTCCATCCCTGGCATCACTGCTACTCTGGGTAGGGTCCCGCGCTCCCCTCTTCTTCCTTGATGGTCCCAGGGACCTCCGCTCCTAGACTGCAAAGTTAATCACTCCCCTCATTGCTACAAATGTCTACCTTTACATTTCCAAACCTCACAATCAGTCCTGATAACAATTATTCACTATTGTATCACAAGAGACCTATCCGCATTTCCTTTCATCAGCCCCACCTAGACAGATTGGATTCTACTCAGTGGAGATTCTATCTTCCTCCAGGCCCTCTGGATCTAGGTTCTCTCTTGAAAGCTTGTAAGCCAGTCACTTCTTGCCTTTGTAGCCCTCCTCCCCCCATTTTGGGTAGCCAATGTCCAAGTTGCCCATCCTTGTCTAACTTGCCCTTTAATGTTATGTAAATTTAGGAAAGGATTGAGCCAAACCCTAATCACAAATTCTTCACGTGCAGCTTTTAAATCATCGAAAAGGCTAAGTCGTTTCTTGTACCAAATTAAAACTAAATGAAAACCATTTGCACCTGTTCTGACTCACCTACAAATTCTCAACGCCATAGAAATGATCTTGTTCAAAATCCAGGACTGCCTATGCCGGCACCGTCTCAGCGAGGAGACTGGCTGCTGGTTTCAGTGGTACGGCGACACAGATCAGTGTGGCAGTACGTTGCCACCATAGCTGTACACTGTGAGGTACATATGATGCCTGGGCCCACTGCCCAGAGACTCTGACAACATTGCAGTGAGTGGATCCCCCACTTTATTTCATTAAAAGCTCTCCAGATGATTCTAATGTGACGTCAAGGTTGAGAACCACAGTTTATTGTGTTCTGCAACAGAAACCATGGCTTCCAGATGTTCTGGAAGTTTGAAAACCCACTGCTTTCATGGTGTAATCTTTAAATGGGTTAGCCATTAAATGCATCAGGCATGTTGCTTGACCGATATAGCATTTTAAAAAAATATATTTAAGCACATGTTAAAAATTGAGAGATTTCATAGAAAGACCCAGATTTTCTGCTTTTTTTTTTTTTTTTTTTTTAGAAATGGCAAATTTCAGTGCAGCCAAGAAGACCCTGGGCAATGCAAACAGTTAAGACAGCCAGGTGTTACCGAAAGGTTGGGAGTTTGAATTCATCCACAGACACCATGAAAGAAAGGCCTGGCTACTTCTGAAAAGAGCAGTAACTGAAAATCCTATGGAACACAGTTCTACTCTGACACATATGAGTCACTGGGAATTGGGGTTGAATTGATGGCAACTGGTTAGGTAAGCTGGACCCACCTCCCTGAATGCCGTAATTGGCGGGAGCAGAATGATAGCTGCTCTCTTTTAATGGGTCATGTGCACACCAGGTCCCTCTCCCCCATCCTCTCCACGACAGTGTCCCTGCTCGTCATCGTGATGTCCTGTTGGGCTTTTCTTTTAGATCATTCAGATCATCTGTCTCAAAGGAAAGGTTTTGCCCTAGATCGCTGAATCTTAAGTGTGCTCCAGAATCAGTAGGAAGCTTGTTGAAAATACAGATTCCCCAAGACCCTAGTCTCAGAGATTTAAGTGTGGACAAGGCCCAGGAATCTGCAATTTTACATCCATACAGCTGTTGGACGGTACTTGGAGAAACACTGACCTAGTGTTTGGCGAGCGCTGGGGCTCAGAGCAAATGAGTTCTTTCAATAGGAAAGTTCTTTTCATTTCCAGAATGAGTAAAAGCTGAATTCAGCAGCCAGAAGAAAAAGGTTAACAGTTTTCTCTTTGCTCAGGAGCTCTGGGTTTGTGGTTGTTTTAGTATTGCCCTTTGCTGACAACAGTCTCCCACCAGACACAGATCATCACAAGCCAGAAGATAAAACAAACGTCTACACTGACGATGTGTTGATAGCAAGGGTGGCACAAAGACTGCAAAAGCTGTGCCCTTCCCCACCACAGGGGTCAGATAAGCTTCTCACGTCCTGATAGTAAAATCCTGGCGGTTCGGAAAAGGGGTCACAAGGTTGTGTCCTGACGCCCCAGCAAAACTGCGTGCAGTTCTTTCAACTGAAAGGGAGCGTCTCTCTGATCCTACAGATGAGGAAAGTGAGGTTCAGAGAAGTGATTTTTCCAAATGGTTACCATGCTTGGCTGCTAACCAAAAGGTTGGAAGTTCAAACCCACCCAGAGGTGCCTTGGAAGAAAGGCTTTGTAATCTACTTCCAAAAACTCAGCCATTGAAAATCCTATGGTAAGTTCTACTGTAGTACACATGGGATCATACTATGAGTCAAAATTGACTCGAGGGCAGCTACTTTCATTTTTACAGTAGTTGCTTAATGTGCTAGAGGCTCTTCATTATATCAATAAAGAAAACTCTTTACCTGAATTAGAGGGAAGTTGTGGTAATATACATCACTTGGATAAAGACAGGCAGAGCTAAGAAAAAACAAATCCAATGATCTCTGTGTACTCTCCACCTGCTTGATCCAACATGTGATTCATTTACATTAGTCTCCTATTGGTGCCTAAAGGTTAAAAGTAAAACGTGAGATGCATGTTTTCCATATACAAGTACTTAGCAACACGAGTCTTCCATATCAAATGTCTAGGTTAGAGTCCTTGCTCTGTTTGGGTAAATGACATAATCGAAACATATCAGTCTCCTCCGTAAAATAGAAAAACAAAGATCCCCCTAAAGATCCCTCTATGACAGGGCATTGATGGCTCAGTGGTAGGATTCTCACCATCCATGTAGGAGATGTGGGTTCACTTCCGAACCAATGCACCTTCTGTGCAGCCACAGGAGGTGGGTGTGTTGCTATGATGCATAACAGGCTTCAGGAAAGCTTCCAGACTAAGACAGTAGGAAGGTCTGGCAATCTACTTCGAAAAAGCAGTGAGAACCCTGTGGATCACAATGGAACAGACCCTGCAGTACTTCTCTCTGTTGTGCATGGGGTCACTGTGAGTTGCGGGCCGACTTGATAGAAGCAGCAACAGCATGTGACAAATAGGGGGCCAGTGACTGGGCCCTGTTCTCTGTGCTCTCACCCTGGTGCCCTTTGTCTTGCTCCTCTGCAAACTATTCTTTCCAGTGCTTTAACTCTCCTGGTCCCAGTTCCTGGTGGCTGGAAGGGATGAAACAGGGAAGTGAACATGGCCTCATCTTCTCCCTAGCAGGAGCTCTGCCATCGAGACCCTGTCCGTGGCCCACACAGGCCCAGAGCCACTCCTGTGCTAACATGTTAAGGACAAGTTTTCCTCACACCGCGCCTCTGATGAGGACTATCAGCATCTACCCGATGCCTTCTTTATAATTACTGTGCCTGTGTGCCCACCTTTCCAGGGCTGGCTCAGCACCTGACCAGCTGCAGGGCGGGTCCAGGCCGCGGTCTGCTCAGCCTCTGTGTCACCTCCAACAGCTGCAGAGTCTGGCTCTGCTTCCTGTCTGCACCTGTGAACCACTGTTGCCTCGCCCAAGTCCCACTGGGTGCTGACCCCTCAGTGCTGGCCCATTTGTAGTATCCTGCACAGTATTCTGCTAACTGTGTCGCATTTGCCTGGTCCCTGCCCCATACCACAAAGACATCCACACCTGCTGCAGTTGCAAAGTCCTGGTGCTGTAGCCTGGGAGCTGGCCAGCATCTGCATGGCTCGGCCCTGGCTTGCCCCAGGGTTGTCCACTGAGTGCAGATACAAAATCCATGTCTGTCTTAATTCATTCTCTGTTCAGGGTCCAGGTAATGGGCCCTCATGACCCAGGCTCACTCCTTACTGGGACTCCTCCTGCCCTTCTCAGACCTCTCCTGCTGGCCTCAACTTTCTAGCTTCATCTGGCATGCATGCCCACTTTGTGGGTGCCCAGAGAACTGGGGACTCAACCATCTAGCAGCTGGGTACCTTTGAGAACCATGGGCCCCTGGTCCCTCCTGAGCCAACCTCACCCAGAGGACCCTGGGCAGGGAGCACTCACTCTGTCCTGGACTCCCGGCCTCCACGCTACACAGCAGCCACATCCGAAGGAAGGGCGCTCCAGGCAGCCACAGGAAACGGGTGTGGAAACCCCTCTCCAGTATCCACAGACTCCAAACGAGGCTTTCCCACCTTCAGCTCAACCCATCAGCCACCCACTCCTTTCTGTCTTCTCTCTAGCTGGGTACTTTTCAGCGCCTGCTGTTTGCCCCACAGATTGGCTTCACCTTGCCACCTGCCAGCTACACCCTACTCCCCACCTCCACTCCATCACTGCCCAGCTCCCAGGTGGGCCGGGAGTTGAGGTAGTTAGTGCAGTGAGGACACCTGCTGGTAGGAAAAGCAAACAGAGCCGCTCCCAGAGTCCCTGGCCCACGAGTGACTCGCATTCTTACTTCCTGGGCTGTCAGTTTCTCAACATCTGCCAGATTTCTCTCTCTCGTATTGGGGTTTTTCAAATCCCCGTTCAGTAAACACACATGACTTCCACACGTGTACAAACACACACACACACATCTCACCCAGCAGCCTCCTAGCTTCTTCACACAGACAGGGGAGCCCCCTGGAAGGACATGCTCCCAGACACACATGCCCTCTGCACCCTCAGCCACACCTCCACCCACACCCGCCACCACTCTGACAGACACAAAAGGGCTGGCAGTTCTCCTCCGCATGTCTACAACCACAGTCCTGCTTCCCCCATCCATGGGCCTGCAAGAGACCCATTTTGAGCACTGTAACCCTGTAACACTGTAACCTGTGAACGTACACATATGCCATCCTCACATGCGCATAGAACCCCGGGTGTGGGGTTAACTGAATGGCCCAGACAGTCAGAAGCTATGCCTTGCCTGGGGCTTCACCAAGCACTCCAAGAAAGAAAGATGTGGCAGTCTGCTTACAGCCTTGGAAACCTTATGGGCAGTCCACCCCATCGTATAGGGTCACTAGGAGTCCGAATTGACTCCATAGCAGCTAGTCGGGTATTTCTCAAGAACTGGAAAAACTGAACTGGACACGTGTCCTAGTGAGTTGTGTAAAGTGAAAGGAGACCCACATCTCCAGACTCATAGAACTCGGAGGGCTGGAGAGAGGGCTAGCCCTGCCCCTTTAGGCACCCATATGCTTGCAGTTACCTATGTGGATACATGTGCAAGAGCACATATGTTTCCCTGGGCAGCACAATGCAATTCCAAATTAAAATCAGTCAAGGACGTGGTGTGACTTCAGCAAGCTGCTGGCTTCCAGGGTTCCTGGCCTCCCAGAAGTGTCCAGCTCTAAGTAGACTGGCTCTGTCTCCCTCCCCACCCACTTATCCAGCCCCAACTGCACATCACACCTCGTGAGCTTCTGGAGCTGGTGAACCCAAGAGCACCCTGCTATGTGGCCACCACTAGGCCCCCCCCTTCGGAGTTCTCCTCTCCAGATCAGACCCTCCAGAGAAGACACCCCAGCCAGAAGTGGGACTTACTGTGCTCCGCCAGCCCCTGGATCATGTCGAATTTATGGATTTCTTTGGCATAGTATTCCGACTCGCTGTTTTCCTGAGTGCAGCCTTCCTCCCTCTCCCCCTGCATCTCCTCCAGCAGTTCCCGGGTGCTATTGTAAAGGGCCAGAACCTGGTAGGGGACATGGGTCATCACCGATGGCTCAGGGGGACTGGTGAGCCTGAGCTTGCTCAAGATCTGTCCCCTAATGGCTTCCACCCTCTTCTTCTTGATGTGGCCAAAGTCCAAGGTGGTGCAAGTGGAGAGGGAGAGGCTGACCGTGGCAAAGTTCAGCAGGGCGAGGACCACCAGAGCCCTTTGCAAGTGCATCTTCATATGCGAGCCGGAAAGAAAGGCTGGGGGGCTGTGAGGCCTGCCTTGGAGCAGACCCCAGTAGACGTGCAGAAGGAGGGAGGAAAACCAGGCGGCCTCCCCAGTTCCCGAAGACTGTGAGGCTTGGCAAGAAGGTGCAGGAACTCACTGCACTGCGAGAGCTTCAGGACTTCCAGGAAGCGCTGGCACCCCTACGGATGAAGAAGCGGACTGTGTGCCTTGTAGCGCTGGGATCCTTCTCCATGTGTCTAAACAGGTTCTGCTGGGCTCTGACTCCCAGCAGGCCAGGTGGAGGGCAAGCAGAGGGCTGGGAGGGGTGGCAAGGCAGCTGGGAGTGGGAAGGGAGCTGGAGGTTTTCCTTAGGTAAAAATAAATAAGAGTGGATATCTGATATTGCCAAACGCAGCTTGGCGATGGGGAGAAAGTTGGTATTTTAAAGCAGCAGCAGAAGGTCCACGTCTGGGATCCCCAAATCCAAATCCTTGCCTTACCCTGAAGGAGAATAAGAAAGAAGGATGGAAAAAGAAAGGAGGAAGAAAAAAAAAGTCAGATCACCAGTAAGTAGGTGGGGAGAGGCAGGGCTGGGCAGCTGCTGGCCCAGCTAAAGGAGGGGGCAGCGCAGGACACACTTGTCTCCCCGGCACCCCATCATGCTTTCTCTTTTGTTTACACTTCCTGGGGGCTTTCTAAATGACTGTTCACGTTGCCTCTGGTCTTCATTGGCTGGAATGTAGGGGTATGCGCAATTAGAAGGCACGGAGGACAAGCCCCTGGAAAGCAGCCCCAATAATCCACTTGGACGCGAGGGTCACCAGCATCTCGGTTTGTCTTCCCCCTCAGCCATTGCTCCTCTTTTTTTAAAAAAAAAAAAGGAAAAAAGAAAAAAGAAGGCAGTTCACTGCACGCCTGTTCCGGAAAGCTGTTAATCCTTTTTTCTCAGGCTTCTTCCCCTATCTCTCGCCTCTGTCTCGCTTATTCCCTTGGACTTGGCTGGCTACTTCCCTCCCTTTCTTTCCCTCTTGCTTCTCTTCTCTTCTCTCTCTCTCTCTCTCTCTCTCTCTCTCTCTCTCTCTCTCTCTCTCACACACACACACACACACACACACACACACACAGGAACGCGCACACACACACTGCTTTCTCTATTTCTCTCTGCTGAAATTTTATACCTCCCTCCCATGACGTCTCGGGCCTGGGGTGGGGGAGGGAGGGACCAGCGCACGCAGCCTCCTTTGCTGCCCGATTTTAATGTTTTAAACAGGCACAGAAAAAAACCGAGCCCGGTTGAAAAATGCTTTGCGAGTCCTTGCGTTCGAGGTGGTAACGGAACTTTTCCCCCCTCTTGGAGTCCCTCCGGCTACACGTTGACTGTTTTTCTGGAAAGTTACTCCGATGAGCCCCCTCCCTTCTGCTCCCCAGGCTGCAGCGCCCTCTTGCCAGCTGTCAGTCCGTCCTCCCCTCCCTGCCCCCAGGGCCCGGGTGCCAGGCCGGACACTGGGCAGGGCCGGGAGGGAGAGCAGGACCTGGCTGGGCCGGCCGTGCCCACCCTTGGGCGGGGTGGGATTCCGCTCCAGCTCCGCGGCCCTCCTGGCTGCGATTCTTCATTGACAAGATTGGAGCCGGGCGCCTGGCTGAAGCTTGGAGACGCTCCAGGGCAGTGAAAAATGGTGGCGTTTGCCGGAAGACCGAGGGTGCCCTCTGGCGAGGCGAGGCAGCCAGTGAAGGCGGCTCCGCAGTTCTGAGCCAGCAGGAAGGTGGGGAGGGTGGGCGCTGGGAAGGGGCTGTGAGCGAGCGAGTGAGAGGAAAACAAGGCCCACGGCCCTTGGGGAATAAGCCTCCCTGCAGGCCAGACGAGCGTACAAGTGCACCTCTCCCTTCCCGGAGCCGTGGCTCTGGAGCGGCTCTGGGCAGAAATGTTATCCAGATGTTCACAGCCTCCCTCCCCACCGTGGGTTCCGCAGGGAGCTGCGCCAGCAATGCAAAGTCAGCAATTGGCCCGCGCCCATTTCCCAGATGGGTGAGGGGAAGCTTTTTCCTCCTCATTCGTTCCTCTTTGCAGCCTAAGCTTCTAGGTCTTTTCCCATGAGAAGATTAGGGAGGGGCAGACACGTTGCTCTCCCCTAAACACAGGGCTTGTCTCTAAACGGTTACTTTCCTGGGATGCGGTGCAGTCGGCGGCCATCCCTACCTCCAACCCACCTCACCTCACCTTCTGGATCCTTCCTGAGAGGACCGGCTTCTGCTCCTAGATGAAGGAACATCTGACAGTCGAGGAAATGAGGCAGAGAGGTTAAAAAGCCACACTGTGAGTGGTGGAGGTGTCACTTAGCCCAGACTGTCCCGGTTGGTGGTGGTTGTTATGAGGCGCTGTTGAGTGGGTTCGAAGTCACAGCGACCCCGTAAAGGGTTTCCAAGGAGCAGCTGGTAAGTTTGAATCTGCAACCTTTTGTCCAGTGCTTATCCTCCAGCGCCACACCAGGAACCCTCAGCTTGGTGAGGGTAGCCATTATTTTAACTTACAAAACAGATGAGGAAACCCTGGCATAGAAAGCTTGAAAGTAACTTGCCTGAGGTGTCACATAGCTAGTAGGTGCCAATGCTGGGATTTGGCCCCAAAATGTCTCTTGCATTTAAACCACTATGCTATACTGCCTCTGGAATTCTGCCATTATTCAAGAAATATTTCTGATGGTTTCCATGGGCCTAATGACTGAATAGTTTAAAATCAGGAAAGGTGTGTGCCAGGATTGTGTTCTTTCACCATACTTATTCATTCTGTACACCTAACAAATGATCCAAGAAGCTGGATTTTATGAAGAATGTGGCATCAGGATTGGAGGAAGACTCATAACAACCTGCAATATGCAGATGATACAACCTTGCTTGCTGAAAGTGAAGAGGACTTAAAATACTTAAATGATGAAGATCAAAGACCACAGCCTTCGGTATGGGATGCAACTCAAAGTAAAGAAAACAAAATTCCTCACCATGGGATCAATAAATGACTTAAAGATAAGTGGAGAAAAGATTGAAGTCATCAAAGACTTCATTTAGCTTGGACCCACAATCAACACTCATGAAAGCCGCAGTCAAGAAATCAAATGACGTGTTGCATTCGGTAAATCTTTTGCACAAGACTTCTCTAAAGTGCTGAAGAGCAAAGATGTCAGTTTGAGAACTAAGGTGCACATGATCCCATGATATTTTCAATAGCTTCATATGTATGTGAGCAGCCCTGGTGTGGCACTGCAGGTTAATGCACTGGACTGCAAAGTTGGTTTGAATTGCAATATTGGCGGTTCAAGATCACCAGCCACTCCTCAGGTCAGAATGGCTGGTGGCATTTAACTACAACAACAACAAATATATGCATGTGAAAGCTGAACAACGAATAAGGAACACCTTAGAAGAATTGATGCATTTGAGTTATGGTGTTAGAGAAGAATATTTAGAGTAACATGCACTGCTAGAAAAACAAACAAATTTGTGTTGTAAGAGGTACAGCCAAAATGCTCCTTAGAAGCCAGGATGGCCAGACATATTATCAGGAGGGACCAGTTTCTGGAGAAGGACATCATACTAAAGTGGAGAGTCAGCAAAAAGAGGAAGACCCCCAAACGACATGGATTGGCACAGTAACAGTAGCAACGGGTTCAAAGTTAACAATAACTGTGATATTGGCACAGAACCAATATTGTGATGTTGTGCATAATAAGATCGCCATGAGTAGCTACTGACCCCACATCACCTAACAGCAAAAACAATGGGCCAGGTAGGCTCTGCAGATACAGCAATGAATAAAACAAACCACAAACCTCTATCTTCATACATTTCACATTGGGTAGTAGTGGTGGTGTTTATATGCCGTGGAGTCAATTCTAACTCATAGCGACCCTGTATAAGTTTTTTGAGGGTGTAAATACTTACAGGAGCAGAAAGCCTCACCTTTGTACCGCAAAGCAGCTAGTAGACATTGGCAGGGGTGAGGTGAGGGTAGGGGGCAATACCAAAAAATAAACCCATTCAATTGATTCCAACTCATAGCAACCAGGACCAACTCATAGGGTTTCCAAGGCTGTAAATTGTTATGGTAGCAGGCTGCCACCTCTTCCTCCCACAAAGTGGTCAGTGGGGTCAAACAGCTGACCTTTTGATTAACAGTCAAGTGCTTTAACCACTGCACCACCAGGGTTTCTGGGAACAGTGTCACCATCAGGATTGGTGTCACCCAGTGTGGTAACTCATGGTGATTCCCCCTCCCATGAGCCTCCTCCAGTACCAGGTCATAAAGAATCCTTAGTAATGTTTATCATCAATTTTACTACTAGAATAGGTAATAAATATAGTTATAAATTTCTCATACGCAGTACTTCTTGGATTATATGAATACTAACAATATTGAATTACAACATTATTAGTTACATATTGTGAGCTAAGCAGGGCCTTTCTTGGTTTTTCTCCTCCTTTTCCTTTAATTACTAACTTCGTTCTCAACAAAGTTATTTACTTATATAGGGCTCACAAATACTATTTACCACAGCATTGTAGTTAAGACATCAGAAATTTTAACAAAATTAATGATTATAAACACCAGTAACAATGAAAACAACAGTGTGTGCTTGTAGCCCTTGCAGAGGAAACCACATGATTTATAGAATCATTGTAATTGGGTAACAATGACGTCTCTGACCAGAAAGCGTTGTTGTTGTTGTTGTTGTTATTAGGTGCCATTGAGTCAGTTCTGACTCATAGGGACCCTGTGCTCAGCAGAACAAAGCACTTTGACGTCATCCTCACAATTGTTGCTACACTTGAGCCTATTGCTGCTGTCACTGTGCCAGTCCATCATGTGGTGGGGGTGGGGGCTTCATCTTGACCCTCCAGTTTACCAAGAATGATGTCCTCTAGGACTGGTCCCTCCTGATAACATGTCTGAAGTATGAGAGATAAAGTCTGGCCATTAGACGGTTCATAAAGTTAATCAGCACAGATTTTTAGCTTTGACCAGTGTAAGCTGGGCTTATGAAAAATATTTGTTGTTATAACTATGTTGTTGTTGTTATGTGCTGTGGAGTCGGTTCCAACTCATAGCGACCCTGTACAGGGTTTCTGAGGCTGTAAATCTTTAAGGGAGCAGAAAGCTTCATTTTTCTCCTGCGGAACAGCTGGTAGTTTTGAACTGCTGACCTTGCGGCTTGCAGCCTGATTCATAACCACTACGCTACCAGAGCTCCTTATAACTATAGGGATATTTTTATGTAAAAAAAATAACAAATTTCTGCTGAAACACTGTACAAAAGTGTTATAGTCATTTTGGTGCCATGGTTCTGACAATGTCACCTGATTTGGTCCAAACCTCCCCATCCCCTAATGTCACCATTGCTGGGGACACAATACGCTAAGTAACTATGTAAATTGTGTAGTATGATAAAAGGTATACATACCTTGGAGAAAAGCAAGGAAGCGAAAAGGAATAGGGAGTTCCTCAGAGGAAGAATGTGATCAGGGAAGGCCTTACTGAGGAGACCTTGGAGTGAACACTTACAAGATGGAAGGGACTCCATCTCTACCAAATCAGAGTCTCCAGGGATGGAGCCATGACACATGTATTTTTCACAAACTCCATCCATGAGTCAGATGCTCAGTGAGGTTTGGAAGTCACTAACCTAGGCCTTCTCTGCCTAGAGTGAGTGCCATTCTGGAAGCTGGCAGAGAAGTGGGAGAGAAGATCTGTGAAGGTTAAGGTGGTGGCAGTGACAGCCTGGTTGTGCGCGTAAAAGAATGGAAAATCCAAAGATGAGTTCCTTCTTCTTCATCTGGTATTCATGAAGAAGAGAACATTGAGCTTAGATTTTTGTCAATGCATTTAATTCAGATTAAAACCTAATAGTGTACTGAGAATCAGAATTAGTGTAGTAGAGGATCTGAGAGGTGATCTCTAAAATTACAACAGCAGAAACTCAGGTCCAGAGAGGAAGCCCAGGAAGTTAGTATCAGAGGTAGGGTTAGAACTCTGCTGACACCCAGACCAGTGTTCTTACTATTACCAGGTGGTGGTGATGGGTGATTATGTGATGTGGAGTCAGTTCTGACTCATAGTGACCCTCCATAGGGTTTCTGACACTGTAAGTCTTCCTTCTCCCGCAGGACTGCTGGGAGTTTTGAACTGCTGACCTTGAAGTTATGAAGGTTATGAAGCCTGCTTCATAACCACTATGCTACCAGAGCTCCTTATTATAAGGTTGTTGTTGTAAAGTGCTGTCGAGTCCATTCCGACCCATAGCGACCCTGTATAGGGTTTCCTAGGAGCAGCTGGTGAGCTTGAACCACCGACCTTGCAGTCTGGCTCATTAATCCACAGCGCCACATCAGGACTCCTATTATAAGGTTGTCCTACCCAACAAACATGTGTGGAAAGAATGGTGGAACTGAGTCATTTACTGGATAGTTTTTAAATGCTTGCAATTCAGTTTTTAGGCTGCTACCTCCATTTCCAAACTTGCACTTTTTAAAAAATGTTTTATTGTGAATTATGTGATTGTTTACATGGGAGAACATTAGCTTTGCATTCATCCTATCCAAGCTCACACTTTTAATCTATAAATGGCCTTATCCCCAGCATGATACTGGGGACACTGCTCACTTTCAGGGCCCTGAGTCTATCTGGTGTGGGGTGCCAGGAACCTGGCCAGTAGTGTTGAATTGGGCATCTTACATAGATACTGTACAAAGACTAGAGAAGACCACCACTCTCAGTCTGCCCCATTGAGCTAGGTGTTTGGGGGCATCTCTCTCTGCCAGCCTGAGAGAATGTCTGACATCCTGAAATATGTGCTAGAGAAAAATGGTCCAGTAAGATCTAGCCTCAGAAAGGCACAGGGCTCTGCCGCTTAGCACCCAGGTGATTTCCCACAATCCTTTTCCCTTCTTTGCACCTCAGTACCCTTAACTTTTAAAATAGAAATATTGAATTTACATTATGGGGTTGTTGGAGAAATTAAATAAGATTTTAAATCTTTCTATTTTTTTAAAAAAGCTTTTGTTGTGAATTGAGTGATAGTTTATATGGGAGAACATTGGTTTTGCACTCATCCTATCGTATTTCGTGTCATTGCAATGATTACAATCCCCTCCATGCATCATCATTCAACAGTATTTGTTTCTATTCCCTCTGCTTTTTTTGTTTGTTTTGATGTATGCAAAAACACTCAGGAAAATATAATCATTTAAACAACCAAAGGGCACATTCTATAAGCCTGCCTCCTGACTGCCAGCACACAGCCTTTGTCTTTCCATGAGTCCTCAGCTGCTCTATCTTTCCATGTCCTCATAGCTGTCTCCATCTCTGGTGTTGCTGCTTCTCAGGATAGTGTACCACATTCCGCCCGCTGGTGCTCTTCTCCCTTGATGGTCCTAGGTCCCTCTGTTCCTGGGATGTAAGATTAATTACTCCTCCCTTTTTGTTACAAAACTTCTACCTTTACAGTTGTGACAATCGCAATTAGTCGTGATAACAATTACTCACTATTGAATCATAAGAATCTTATCCCCAGACTCTCGTGGTTCAATAGTGTGAGTCCGCCGACCTTGTTCAAACAGACCTTGCCTTTCAGTGCTGTATCCTGCAGCGCCACACCAGGGCTCCATACACCAGGACTGGTGGAGGTGGTGGTAGTTATGTGCTGCAGAGTCGGTTCCAATTCAGAGCGACACTGTATAGGGTTTCCTAGGCTGCAAGTCTTTACAGAAGCAGAAAGGCTCATCTTTCTCCCACAGAGCAGCTGGTAGTTTCGAACTGCTGATCTTGTGGTTAGCAGCCCTACCAGTGAATGTTAATATCTGGAGTTTTCCTACGTATGTCAGTAAGTCAGCATTAGGGACGATTTGGTCTAAATCTGCATGAAACACACAACCCACTAATAACGCATTTGTTGTTGTCAAGTGCCGTAGAGTCGGTTCCGACTCATAGCGCTCCTGTATAGGGTTTGCGAGGAGCAGCTGGTGAGTTAGGACTGCCAATCTTGTGCTTCTAAGCCCAGTGCTGATCCTACAGCGCCACACCAACAGTCCATACACCAGGACTTGTTGTTAAGTTACGAGTCAGTTCCGACTCATAGCGCCCCTTTATAGAGTTTCCGAGGAACAGCTGGTGGCTTTGAACTGCCGAACTTCGGGCTCTCAGTCCAGCGCTGATCCTACAGCAACACAGCCAGGCGTGGCGGCCCCTTTAAATACTGGGGCGGAGGGGCGGAGCCCTTCTCTGAGAAACCATTGGGTTGCCTGGCTTCCCGGTAGTGACGTAGGAAGATCTCAGTGATGGAGGACGTGCTAGACCTGGACGAGGAGCGGCTTCGCGGCTCGTCCACCTCCGTGAGGACCGACGCTCAGGGCTTGGGCCCCGGATGTGGCGGGTGGGGAGGAGCCTCCTCGCCGGCCTCGGCTTCCCCGGGGCGGCGGGAGCGGTGGGAGGGACGGGGCTAGGCGGCCGGGTAGGCGCTTTCCCCGTTTTGGTTTCGCGGCGGGCGCTCAGCCGTTGCTGGCGTGGGCTTGTTGTTGTTGTGAAGTGCGTCGAGTCGATTCCGACCCATAGCGACCATGTACAGGGTTTCCGAGGAGCAGCTAGTGAGCTTGAACCACCGACCTTGCAGTTCAAACGGCTTTGCAGTCTGGCGCATTAACCTTTAGGGCCACACCAGGGCTTTATGCCTTTAAAAATCCTTAGAAAACAGAAAACCCATCTTCCTTCCGCCGGCTCTGAGACCGGTGTGCAGTTTGCAGCCTCTCCCGGTCCTCGTAGCCCTTGCCCTCATCCTAGAACGTCCACCCTGGGCCTGGTCATTCTAGAAGTTCACATCGAAACCTCACTGCAGAAAGTCGGGCAAGGACGGCGTTTAAACGCAGGATCCCACGGGGATGTGGTCCTTAGCTCCGCTTTACAGTGAACGCTTTGGAGGGTCGGATTTATAACGGGGTGAAGTGTTTGGGTCCGGAGTAGCAAACTAACCTCTGGGAACCGCCGGCTCTCTCTCTCTGGAACGACGGCGTTGCTACCGCCTTCAGATGGCTGCAGGGAAGCAGAAATGGGATAATGCAGGGAGAGCATCCAGCGGTGCGTGATTCCTGCGGAATTCTTAGAAAAGCTTTGCTGCTCTTGCTCTGTGATTACTGAGCTAGATGCAAGAAAGGAGCCCTGATGGCTCAGTAGTTAAAGCTCTCGGCTGCTAACTGCCTTTTTGGGCGCGTTAAGCTCTTCAGTGGGAGAAAGGTGTGCTTGCAGAAAGCCTGCAGCTTTGGGGGCAGTTCTGTGGTGCCTTAAGGGCCGCTGTAAGTCGGAATCAGCTCCATGGCAAGTAGGTTGGTTTTTGGTTTAGATTCAAGACCCCAGCGTTGTGTTCCAACTCCATCACAAGCCCCATCAGGCATAGTCACGATGGCTTTTACTAGAAGGCTGGGCCACGGGGCCAATCTTTAGTTTCTGCTTGCAGTCTGAGTTTTGAAGCTCCCGGATACCGTTGGACTGCACACCTCTGGGCGAGCTGACGACTGGTGCCAACTGCCCAGGAAGCGGATTGCTTGACTGACTAAGAAGACGACTGGTCACCAGGCCTCTGGGATACGGGACCTTTTTTTTTTTTTTTTAACTACACATGTGTGTATTGTGTGGTTGTAGTTTTTGTGCACTCATTCTTTCAGCACATACTTATACGATATTATCCTGTGTGCTGGAAATACAGTAGTCTATGCCCTCAGGGGGGCTTAAACACACCACATAATTAAAAAAATGTAAAATCAGATAGTAAAGTAGCTTTTCTCCTACCATGCCTCTGGATTTATACAGGGTCTTCAAAAAGGTTAAAATCTTGAAACACTTAACAGGTAGTAAAGAAACCATCTGGAAACAGCACTTAGATCATTGGATTTTTGTTTTTGTACCATCGCTATGTGTAGTGTGCTGTTCCGGAGTCTATGACAGATGAAGAAGGGCAGCACATGGGGGCCTGGAGAAGAAAATGAGTTCCTTACTGTTGGACTAGATTGTCTCCATCATCCTTGATGATTGGCAAGAGAATTTGAAGTGTAAATTGCATAAGGGATTTTAGACAGTTCTTCTGTTAGCCTTCTCAATTTATTGATGTAGTCAGTTCTTAAAACAAACTGAGTAATATGCCATAGTAGAAAGAGGAGACCTGGTGGTGCAGTGTTTAAAGTGCTCAGCTGCTAATCAAAAGTCAATGGTTCAGTGCCACCAGCCGCCCTGCAGGAGGATGTGGCAGTCTGCTTCTGTAGAGATTGACAGCTCTGGAAACTCTGGAGCACGTGTACTCTGTGTGTAGGGTCAGTGTTAGAATCCACTCAAGGGTAGTGGGTAGAAATAACCTACGGGTTGAAGTCAGAAGTTGACTTTGCTCTTAGATTTCTCTCTGCCACTGAATCTTCTCCCTCAGTTTCCTCATTTGTAAAACGGTGTTAGTCCTAGTTCCTGCTACTGTGAGAATCAAATGAAGCCACACCAAATGAGATCCAAAAGCCATTACTGCTGGTTTTAAAAAGTAAACAAACAAGCATAAATACTTCAACAACAATTAGCCTGTCCAAATAAAGTTTTGTTGATGTGTTGGGAAGCATTTGAGACACAGAGCCTCCACGCTGGGAGGGCTTTTGGGAAACACCTACAAAATGGTTTGGTTGGTGACTCAGAATTTGAAGTGCTCTGATTTCCAAAGTGGGTATCTCAAAATTCGTGCAGCTGGTTTCCCTTATTGTCTGTAAATACAAATTTAATGAGTGTACAAGTCAAAGCAATTGCTTGCTGATTCTCTGGTTTGCTATCATGTTGCGTTGTTAGGTGTTATATAGCAGTTCCAATTTACAGTGACCCTGTGTATAACAGAATAACAACAAAACCCACACTGCCCAGTCCTATATCAACCTCACAACCATTGCTGTGTTTGACCCTGCAGTCACTCTGTCATTCTATCTTGTTGAGGGTCTTCTCCTTTTCAGTGACTCTCTACCAAGTATCATGTCTTTCTTCAGGGATTGGCCCTTCCTGACAACATGTCCAAAGTACCTGAGATGAAGTATTGCTTCCCAGGAGAATTCTGGCTGTCCTTCCACGACATGGTCATTCTCCTGGTAGTCCATGATATATTTAATATTATTTGTTTAAAGCGCTCAGCTGCTAATCAAAAGTCAATGGTTCAGTGCCACCAGCCGCCCTGCAGGAGGATGATGTGGCAGTCTGCTTCTGTAGAGATTGACAGCTCTGGAAACTCTGGAGCACGTGTACTCTGTGTGTAGGGTCAGTGTTAGAATCCACTCAAGGGTAGTGGGTAGAAATAACCTACGGATTGAAGTCAGAAGTTGACTTTGCTCTTAGATTTCTCTCTGCCACTGAATCTTCTCCCTCAGTTTCCTCATTATTGTTTTGATTTGCATAGCTCTAATGGCAAATCTCTGGTAGCGTAGTGGTTACGAATCAGGCTGCAAACCACAAGGTCAGCAGTTTGAAACTACCAGCTGCTCCGCGGGAGAAAGATGAGGCTTTCTGCTCCCGTAAAGATTTACGGCCTCGGAAACCCTGTACAGGGTCGCTATGGGTCGGAATCGACTCGACGGCACTTAACAACAACAACGTCAATATAATGGACAATTCAAATACATCAGTTCATCTTTGGCCTCCCTTATTCATTGTTCAGTTTCCCCATGTATATGAGGAGATAGAAAATACCATGACTTGGGCCAGGTACACCTTAGCCCTCACAGTGACAGTAAACTTTTTAACACTTTAAAGAGGTCTTTTGCAGCAGATTTGCCCAATGCTCTACGTAGTTTGGAGTCCTAGTGTGGTGCTGTAGAATAAACACTGGATTGCTAACCAAAAGGACGGCAGTTCAAATACACCAGCCTTTCCTTGGGCAGTTCGAACCCTATACAAGGTCACTGTGCGTTGGAACCAACTTGACAGCACGTAACAACGTGTTTCATTTCTCGATTGCTGCTTCACTAGCTATTGGTTGTGGGTCCAAGTAAAATGAAATCCTTGACAATTTCAGTATTTTCTCTGTTCATCTTATTGGACCAGTTGTTACCATAGAATTTAGGAATTTTCCCCAAATTCCTTTTGATCATTTTTTGCAGCTTTGAACTTCGGGGTTCCTAAAATCCTGCACCATCTTCACAACTGTTGTGCTTGAGCACAGTGGTGCTGCGGCCGTCAGTCCATGTCGTTGGGGGTCTTCCTCTCTGTCACTGACCTCCACTTTACCAAGCATGATGTTCTTCTCCAAGGACTGGTCCCTGCTGATTATATGTCTGAAGTATGAGAGATGAAGTCTTACCATCACGGCTTCTAAGGAGCATTCTGACTGCCCCTCCAAGACAAATGTGCTAGTTCTGGCAGTGCAGGTACTTCTAATATGGTTCTCCAACACCATAATTCAAATGAATCAATTCTACAGTCTTCCTTATTCATTGTCCAACTTGTATATGCATGTGAGGTGATTGAAGTCAGGCACACCTTAGTCCTCAACCTGGTTCCTCTACTCGTGAACATTTTAAAGAGATTTTTTGTAGTAGATTGGCCTAATGCAGTATCTTGTTGGTTCTATGACTGTTGATTGTAGATCCAAGCAAATGGAAGTCTTTGACTACTTCAGTCTTTTCTGCATTTATTGTGATGCTCTGTATTGGTCCAGTTGTGAGGATTTTCATGTTCTTTACATAGAGGTGCCATCCATACTGAGCTGTGACATGATGTCTGCCCATTCTCGAGGACACTGTTTCTGGGTAGGACAGTGATATTGCTTTTGCAGTCCATATGGTACTGCATGGCTTTCCTTGGCTAATTTTCAGAAGTTTGTCTCCAACCAGGCCATTATTTGTAGTCTGGAAGCTTCACAAAAACCTGCCCTCCATGGGTGACCATGCTGATATTTGAAATACTGAGTGGCAGACCTTCCACGAACAGCAACGTGCAAGCCGCCACCTTCATCAAACAGGCAGGTGGTATCAGGAATGCTTCTTGGGAGCAAGGGTGGTGACACTTCATCTTTCTTACTCTGCACACTTCGTCAGGGAAGACCAGTCCCTAGAAAGGAACATCATGTTTGATAAAGCAGAAAGTCAGGGAGAGTAAGGGAGTCCCTTGTGAGTGGAGTCACACAACAGCCACAGCCGTGGGCTCAAATGTAACAGGGTCATGAGATGGTGAAGGACTGGGCAACCAGTTGTTGTATCACACAGAAGGTTACCAGCAGTCAGAGCGAACTCAATGGCAACAAACAACAAGGAAAACCCTGTGACCACTAACCCATGGATTTCTGACTCTCCAACCAAATGGAATTGACCGCAGGTGCTTTGTTTTAGGATTTGGAGCCTTTTCTAAGAATATATATTAAATTTCTCAAATCCCATCTCCACCATGTTATAGATCCGGTCCGCGCAAGCCATGTTAGGGTCAGCAGTGTCCTTCCCTTTCTCCTTACAGGGGGCCAAGATGGGTCGCCGAGCTCAACCAGAGTCAGCTCAGACTGAGAAGCCGCTCAATGACAAGAGTGCCTCTTTGACTCTGACTGGAGAGGTGGGTGCTGAAAAACACAAACATCTAAAGAAATGTGTCTAACATGTGCTTGCTTCCCTCTCCCTTTTTCTTGACTGGCCACAGAAGGCGTCACTGCTTGCCTGTAAGTACCCTCTCACAGCCGAGGCCTTCTGCTTCTTGTCACCAGTCTCTAACCTCATGGGTCTCCATGGAAGATTGCTGTACTGAGCTAGGCCACCTGGTCAGCCTGGGATTCCTGGCGTCATCAGTGGCATCCTTTCTGTGCTCTAGACCTGGCTCAGCACATGCCCGTCCCTTAAAGAACTGTTGGGGTTTGAGTGCCCTCTGTCCCTGGAGCACCATAGTGCTTTTTTCCTCCTTGGTTTTTTTCTTTTTACTTTTCTTCTTGTACTTTAGCCAGTTAGGATCCTCCCCATGTACCTACAGTGTCTGTTTCCTTAACCGGAGGTCCCCAGCTTTTAGTTGACTGTCGGCTCTTAGTCTGGTTTGTTTGTGAAGCAGCCTTAGGGGATGTCACTGTATGACCAAGGTGAGTTACTTACTATGGAATAAAAAAATCACTGTTTAAAACAAAAAGAAAGAAGTGCTGTCTAAGAGTTAGTGATTACTTAACAAGAATTTGGTATCTCGTCTTTCTGTTTAAGACAGCCCATTCTCCTGTCTTGATTTGGGAATTCCCTTCCTTGACATTTGCCCTATTAGCAGAAAACAAAAGAGGCATGCTGAGCGAGATGACATCAAGGTTGAATTACACACTGGACATATGAGCTCAGTGGTGACCTGCACTTACTATGTTTTTTAGACAAGAAAGGGATCAGTGCTGGCTTTACTCTCCTGGAAGCCTTTCCTAGTAGCCTGGCTTATGGGAATTTATTGAGCCCATTTGCATATGGTGGGTAGTCCTGATGATGCCAGGGCACTCTTCCATTTTTGCCCATATATGAAGACAGTTAAAGTGACAGTTTATCCACTTCCCCTTTTCCTTCCTTTTGTCTCTTTGATGATTTGAGAAAACAGAAAAGCCTTTTCCAAAAGTCAGCCTTAAGACAAGCCTCTCTGATTTAGAGTTCCTTTCGCTCAGTTTCCATAGTACCTGGTATAGAATATGTCACATTATATGCTTGTTGTCTGTTGATATGTCTGTCTGGTAAGTTCCCAGACAGCAGGAAACCTGGCTTGTCTAGCTTATTGGCCAGTAGTAAGTTTACAACATGAGGGGACCCACTTTCAGAAAGCTAAAGGGCCAGGTAGGTAAAATAAGTGAGTGAATGGTGCATGTGCAAAATGTGCTAGATACAAAGTGTAGGTGTACTTATGTATCAAGTATGTAGGAATGTCTGCTTTCAGAGAATGTTACTTCCCTGTCGTCTTCAGCCCGCCACACTGTCCTCTTAATTTTTCATTCATTTTCTCACTGTACGAATCTGGGTATGGAAAATCCTCCTCCTACTCAAAGATAACAGCTGTACCAGCTCAGAAAGTCCAGTAGCATACCTTTGGCCTCACTGTCTGCAGATAGCAGGGAGTAGGGACAGTAGGGAACTGGAGAACACATGTCCCCTCTAAAGGGACCAACTATTACCTAGCTACAGCAGACTGATGGTATGGAGAGCACAGGCCCAGTTTTGCTAGATTTTTCAAGAGCTATCAGTAGTATAAAACTTCACATGAAACCAGCACATTTTTAGGTTAGCAATAAATTACAAAAATTGAAACCTTATATGGCTTAGATTTGGCCTGATGATGGTCAATTTGTGACTTAGGCCATTGTTGCTGTTATTGTTGTCTAGTACCGTTGAGTTGGTTCTGATCCATAGTGACCCTGTGTAGTGTTTCTGAGGAGTGGCTGGTAAGCTTAAACCACTGGTGAGCTTGAACCATCAAGCTTGCAGTTCACACTGACTTTGCAATCCAGTGCGTTAACTCACAACACCACACGGGGACTCTGACTTAGGCCATCGTACCTCCTTCACACTGTATTCTGATTATAGTCACATATCTTCAGTAACCTCGTATGCATGCAAAAGCTGGACAGTGAATAAGGAAGACCAGAGAAGAATTGATGCTTTTGAGTTGTGCAGTTGGAGGAGAATATTGAACGTGCCATGGGCTGCCAAAAGAACCAATAGATCCGTTCTGGAAGAAGTGCAGCCAGAGTGCTCCTTAGAGGCCAACATGGCCAAACTTCGTTTCTCATACTTCGGACATATTGTCAAGAGGGACCAATTGCTGGAGAAGGATATCATGTTTGGTAAGGTGGAGGGTCAGAGGAAAAGAGGAAGACCCCCAACGAGACGGATTGGCCAAGTGGAAGCATCGATGGACTCAAGCATGGCAACAATAGTGAGGTTGGCTCAGGATCAGGCAGTGTTCTTTCTGCTGAGCATAAGGTCGCTATGGGTCGGTACAGACTCGATGGCACCTAACAACTACAACAACAATCTATCACCTAACATCTGAGCAGGCAGTCCTTCCGACCGCATATACATCCATGGTCCCAAAAGGTTATAATTATTTTTGTAGAGTTCAGAAATCCTGATCTGAGAATGGGACAGAGCAAACATAACTGGATGTAAGAAATGCAACAGCTTCTTGCACACAACACCTATACTTCATGTCTCATGCATGCAAAGCTTTATTAGCTGCCCAAGTATGTGATGGTACAGTACACATTGTTGAGTCGCTTTCATATAGGGTTTCTGAGGAGTGACTGGTGGGTTAGGGCCACAAAACTTGAGTTTAGCAGTCCATTGCTTATCCTGCAGTGCCACACTTGTTGTTAAGTGCCATCGAGTCGATTCTGACCCTTAGTGACTCTATATAGGCTTTCCAAGGAGCAACTGGTGAGCTTGAACCACCGACCTTGTAGTTCAAACAACTTTGCAGTCTGACGCATTAGCCCACAGCGCCACACCAGGACTCCTCATTAGCCATTAATGTGTCACACTAGGAGTCCAATAATACATATGTCTTGATAGTCATCATAAATGCATAGGTTACTGGCTTATCTATGTGCTGTATTAGCTAGTTACTTTAATGTGGACTTGCCCTACTTTACAGTTGACTATTGTAGAACAGTGTATGTTTTGACTCAGAGGCGGCAGCATCCAGTCTCTAGTATCATGTGTCTTTTGAGTTTTATAACATCCTCTCGCTATTTAATTTTCTGTGGCTCTAAAGTGCAGCAGACCCAGTGCTAGTGATTACAGCAGCAGGAGGCAAAAGAGAAGTATTGGTCTGGAAGTGAAACAAGAAGTTATTCAACAACATGATGGTGAAATAGTGAACGCTGCTGCTCGTGGTATAGCATGTTCGTACAGCATCCAAATCATATACCTTCCTGTTTCACAGAACAGATAATGGATGTTATATGACACACAACTGTATTTACATGTCTGACTCCCAGATAACATGTGAGCTGGAAGGTAGGGGTGTGTCTAATCATTGTACCCCTCTGTCTACCACAGTGTCTGGCTCAGAGCAGATGGTGCATTTGACACTACAGAGTGAGATGGGTGAAGTGCCTGGTGTGTGTTGAGGGCTATCAGAAGCTGAGTAAATTACAGGGTGGGGGGTGGCAGATAGTAATTTGGGGTGGTGGTGGCATAATGTAGGAAGATGGTGAAAGAAGATGTACCCGACTCACCCTGGATCTCAAGGAGATTGAACTATAGTCATGTATGTCTTGAAAGAAAGTGTTGAAGCAAATGACTGGGTTAATGGATGCCTATGAGGTGTGGTGCTAGGATCAGCACTGGACTGTGAACCACAAGGTTGGCAGTTCAAACCCACCAGCCACTCTTGGAAACCCTGTACAGGGTCACTATGAGTCAGAACCAACTCCATAGCATTTAACAACAACTCTTGGTCTCTGGCCTCTTTAGACTGTTCCAGATGGTTCTAGAGGATCCATTCCAACACAGATCATTCATTCAAAAAATACTCACTGAAGTTTATTGCACCAGGCATCATTTTAGGTGGTTGGCATATTTCAGTGAGCAAAGGAGACCCTACCCTATTCCCTGTCGTAGTGAAACTTCCATTCTAGTGAACATTGGCAAGAATGACAGCGTTTAAATGTGAAGCCAGTGGCTAGGTGAGTGGACCTCTCTGATGGGCCAAGATGTCCTAGAGTGCTTTGCATACCAGTGTGAGCCCCATATGGGACCAGCTCCTTGCACTGCTCACCTGCCTGTCCCCTCGTGCATGCTTCCCAGGTAAGACTACAGCAGGCACGCCACTTCATAGTCACAGGGTAATCAACCTTCAGGGGTTCAGCATACTCATTCCCCCAGGGACACTGACCTTTTCTGATTCGGAGTTTTAGCAGATTTCTGGGAGAACATGATGAAAAGCCATTCTGTTCCTCACCCGCTGGTGCCTCTGAAAGTGAAATGCCTGTCAGGATCCCAGGATGCCTTCTCTTTCTGGGTTAATTGAGGTTTAGAGCAGTGTTGGCAGCCTCCCACGGGACCAGATGCTCACGGTGTTGTGTGGGACTTTGGGGCTGTTTCTAAAATTAGATCCCAAGACTTGTGTATGTGCCCATTTACATTCCAGTTCTGAGTGTATTACTTGATGTATTTATTTTTGTTCTGCTGACTGTATTCTAGGATGAAGAAATCCATGAAGAGCTAACAGGGTACTGGAGACTCTTAGGCCTACCAAAGTTAACTTTCCAGAGTTAAGTGGGAATTAGCTCACACAGATGGTTATTTAGCTAGTGTTGGAGTTGGAAGCTCTGGTGAAGGAAACAGGAGCGCCTGCTGGGAGGGAGCGAACACAGGACAGGGCTTGAGACTGGCCTCAACTAAGTGCCTTGATTAGGAGCAAATCCACTGATCTCTATCCTGCTGTTCTATTATCTGTAAACTGGTAACAGCAATAGTGCCAGGTTTATGTGGGGATTAAATGAAATAAGCATTTAAAAGCATTCTCATTAAAGGATTGCACAACAATCACATAAGTAAAGGAAAATTTGGACTGTTAAGGAGTCCTAATGTGGCATTGTAGGATAA